GATTTTTCACAAAAAATGGTCTGTTTTTATACCTTTTTGGTGGGTACAGTTCAAATCAGAAGCTTGTAATACTGTGAAGAAGTCATTTCCGACCCTATAAACCATATATATTCTTGATCAGCATCAAAAACTGAATCAATCTAGCCATGTCCGGATGAAAAATAAATTTTCTGACTTTTTTCGAAAATTGAAAATTTTATAAGGGGTTACATCATTAAAATTGTCAAAATCTGACAATAAATTGAATTTTTTATATTTGAAAACCCGGTATGCAGATTTGTTAATCTAGTAAAAACTAGCATAGATTAGCTCTCCGAATTAAAATTAATGGTTTTTTGGCTTAGTTATGAGTTTTTAAAACTATGATTTTTGGGCAAAATTGCCTGTTTTTATACCTTTTTTCAGGATCTTATAATTTTATTAAAAAACTGACAATAGCATTAGCAAACGCAGTATGCAGATTTGTTAGTGGAATAAAAACTAGCACAGAAAAGCTTTCCGATTCAAAATTAATGCAATTTTGGCTTAATTATGATGTCCGGAAAACTTTGATTTTTCACAAAAAATGGTCTGTTTTTATACCTTTTTGGTGGGTACAGTTCAAATCAGAAGCTTGTAATACTGTGAAGAAGTCATTTCCGACCCTATAAACCATATATATTCTTGATCAGCATCAAAAACTGAATCAATCTAGCCATGTCCGGATGAAAAATAAATTTTCTGACTTTTTTCGAAAATTGAAAATTTTATAAGGGGTTACATCATTAAAATTGTCAAAATCTGACAATAAATTGAATTTTTTATATTTGAAAACCCGGTATGCAGATTTGTTAATCTAGTAAAAACTAGCATAGATCAGCTCTCCGAATTAAAATTAATGGTTTTTTGGCTTAGTTATGAGTTTTTAAAACTATGATTTTTGGGCAAAATTGCCTGTTTTTATACCTTTTTCAGGATCTTATAATTTTATTAAAAAACTGACAATAGCATTAGCAAACGCAGTATGCAGATTTGTTAGTGGAATAAAAACTAGCACAGAAAAGCTTTCCGATTCAAAATTAATGCAATTTTGGCTTAATTATGATGTCCGGAAAACTTTGATTTTTCACAAAAAATGGTCTGTTTTTATACCTTTTTGGTGGGTACAGTTCAAATCAGAAGCTTGTAATACTGTGAAGAAGTCATTTCCGACCCTATAAACCATATATATTTTTGATCAGCATCAAAAACTGAATCAATCTAGCCATGTCCGGATGAAAAATAAATTTTCGGACTTTTTTCGAAAATTGAAAATTTTATAAGGGGTTACATCATTAAAATTGCCAAAATCTGACAATAAATTGAATTTTTTATATTTGAAAACCCGGTATGCAGATTTGTTAATCTAGTAAAAACTAGCATAGATCAGCTCTCCGAATTAAAATTAATGGTTTTTTGGCTTAGTTATGAGTTTTTAAAACTATGATTTTTGGGCAAAATTGCCTGTTTTTATACCTTTTTTCAGGATCTTATAATTTTATTAAAAAACTGACAATAGCATTAGCAAACGCAGTATGCAGATTTGTTAGTGGAATAAAAACTAGCACAGAAAAGCTTTCCGATTCAAAATTAATGCAATTTTGGCTTAATTATGATGTCCGGAAAACTTTGATTTTTCACAAAAAATGGTCTGTTTTTATACCTTTTTGGTGGGTATAGTTTAAATCAGAAGCTTGTAATACTGTGAAGAAGTCATTTCCGACCCTATAAACCATATATATTCTTGATCAGCATCAAAAACTGAATCAATCTAGCCATGTCCGGATGAAAAATAAATTTTCGGACTTTTTTCGAAAATTGAAAATTTTATAAGGGGTTACATCATTAAAATTGCCAAAATCTGACAATAAATTGAATTTTTTATATTTGAAAACCCGGTATGCAGATTTGTTAATCTAGTAAAAACTAGCATAGATCAGCTCTCCGAATTAAAATTAATGGTTTTTTTTTGCTTAGTTATGAGTTTTTAAAACTATGATTTTTCGGCAAAATTGCCTGTTTTTATACCTTTTTTCAGGATCTTATAATTTTATTAAAAAACTGACAATAGCATTAGCAAACGCAGTATGCAGATTTGTTAGTGGAATAAAAACTAGCACAGAAAAGCTTTCCGATTCAAAATTAATGCAATTTTGGCTTAATTATGATGTCCGGAAAACTTTGATTTTTCACAAAAAATGGTCTGTTTTTATACCTTTTTGGTGGGTATAGTTTAAATCAGAAGCTTGTAATACTGTGAAGAAGTCATTTCCGACCCTATAAACCATATATATTCTTGATCAGCATCAAAAACTGAATCAATCTAGCCATGTCCGGATGAAAAATAAATTTTCGGACTTTTTTCGAAAATTGAAAATTTTATAAGGGTTACTTCATTAAAATTGTCAAAATCTGACAATAAATTAAATTGTTTATATTTGAAAACCCGGTATGCAGATTTGTTAATCTAGTAAAAACTAGCATAGATCAGCTCTCCGAATTAAAATTAATGGTTTTTTGGCTTAGTTATGAGTTTTTAAAACTATGATTTTTGGGCAAATTTGCCTGTTTTTATACCTTTTTTCAGGATCTTATAATTTTATTAAAAAACTGACAATAGCATTAGCAAACGCAGTATGCAGATTTGTTAGTGGAATAAAAACTAGCACAGAAAAGCTTTCCGATTCAAAATTAACGCAATTTTGGCTTAATTATGATGTCCGGAAAACTTTGATTTTTCACAAAAAATGGTCTGTTTTTATACCTTTTTGGTGGGTATAGTTTAAATCAGAAGCTTGTAATACTGTGAAGAAGTCATTTCCGACCCTATAAACCATATATATTCTTGATCAGCATCAAAAACTGAATCAATCTAGCCATAAATAAATTTTCGAAATTTTTTCAAAATTCCTGCAAATAGTCGCGGTCTCTGAAGAACACTTGCTGTTGCTCCGTTCTCCAAAATGAAAAGACTGTAGATTTTCAATATCTTTTTATTTGCCTTATCGGGAGCATTCCCTTACAACTCATACATTAATAGTCGATGTAATACATTCATGGCACAATCAATATCTTCTTATCGGTATACATCCTAACCGAATATCTCTAAAAACCACCTAGAAGAGAATTAACAAAATGGTTAGAAGTATAAACAACAGATCTTTTGGGGGAGATCGAACAATAACAACATTTAAACACAACATGCAACAGAAAATATCTAAAAAAGAAAATGGGTTGAAGTAGTCACGGGGGTAGAGGAGGCATGCGTAGGAGAACAATAGACAGAAGAAGGATCCATCACAACCAGGAGAAGGACAAAGGATAGCTTGAAGATCGGGTGACCTTGTTAGAAGGCCCCACCAAAGTGCAGATCATTGAGGAACTTCGAGTTGAGTCGCTCGTTGGTTAAATACCTCGCCAAACTGACACTCGGTGCGCTGCAGTTGCTCATGCCACGCTGATCTCCTGCCGCCGGCTGATCCGAGGGCGTGTAACCCGGCCGGCAGACGCACTTGGCCCGACTAGCATGGGCCAAGATGCCCGTTGTGGTGCCATTTGTTGTCTGGGTTTTCAGTGGCTCCAGCCACTGACCAGCACCGCAGGGTCCACGGCTATACAGCTTGTGGCACTGCCCGTTGATCTCCACCATGCCGGGCGTGGATTCGCATATATTCAGCTCTTTGTCCCCGTTCTCGCCGGAACACTGCTGATCCAGATTGGTGAGGACGCCGGAACAGCCGCACATGCCATTGTAGGAGATGCCATCGATGGATGGCCGGGCGGTGAAGTCAAAGATGACCACCTGGTGCAGAGCACACGGGCCCTGTGATCCAATCCTGTAGCACGAATCCTCCGCTGGGAAATATAAGCGATTCTTGCCGCAGAAATTCCGCACACAACTGGTGCCATTGATGAGGAACTCATTGGTGCCACATGGACCCCGGGTGTACAAGCGATAGCAGATGCCATCGCTCCAGGGTACATAACCCTCCTTGCACTGGCATTGTCCGCGTGGCAAAAGCTGCAGCGAGGAACTGCCTCCGATATCCTCCTGGACAACCTCATCGGGTATGCGAAAGATATGCCCCGGTGGACACGGGCCAGGAGTGTCTGTAAGAGAAGAATATATTTAATATTTGGAGTACTGCTTTAAGGAAATTCCCTAAAACCAATCCTACCCAGCTCGTAGCACATTTGCTGCGGAGCATGATAGTGCGGCAAATGACGCTGACAATCACAGCGGCCGCCGGGCAAGAAGATGTGACCCGGCGTGGAGCAGGGTCCTTTGGTGTAGTGCTCATAGCAGGAATCCTCTACGGGGTAATAGAATGAGGATAATTCGCCCTCATTCTCACAGCGACACTCGGCCAGTCCATCCTCATTTCGCACCAAGAGTTTACCCTTACTACAGGGTCCTTTGGAGTGACGGCCATAGCATTTGTTGTCCCTTGGCCAGAATATCATATTCTCCGGGCAGTTGAGGGGTCGCTTGCAAGTGCCCCAACGGTTGCCGGATCTGGAATGTATATTAAAGATTTAAGAACTGATCTCTATAGGGATTTACACTCACCTCTTAACCTGCTCCGGCATGGGTTGAAAGTACTCCTCCGGCTGGCAGGGTCCCCGCTCATACAGCTTGTAACACACATTCTGTGTCAGCGGACTAAGAGCCGTTCCCGGTGGACAACGGCATTCAGCGGCGGGTAAATCCTTTCTCTTTGCACTCACTGCCGTGGGACTCAGCTCCATGGTCTCTGGACACGGGTAGCCAAGTGTAAAGATCTTAAAGCACTTCTTCAGGGGCGTCCAGTAAAGAAGCTGCCAGCCACCGGCCATAGTGGCACAGGGATTCTTAGCAGGATCACTCCAAGGAGGTGGGACAATGCCACCAGCCACCTGATGCGGATGTTCGCCGGTGGTTAGCAGGAGGAGCAGGCATGTAAGGATGGAGCTGCCCGCCTGCAGAGCAGCCCAGCAGATCAACGCTTTCCGACGTCTCATAATTGGAAACTGTCTTAAAAAGCGAAAGTAAAGCGATTAATTACAGGTTAATCCGCCTAATCAGTTGGTTAAATATGTTATTATTAAATCATTATGGGTTTTATATGGAAAATAAGCTTCTTATAAAATCATTTTTGATTTTCTGAAGGTCATTCGTTTCACTTTTATGTTGATAACTACGAATTAAAGTGGAAATTGTATAAAATTAGGTGTCATTAGATGGAATTAAGTTCGTATTAGGGAAGTTCCACTATAATCATTTAATTATTCTCCGAGAAATATATCAATTTTTATGGCATTGGGGAGAAGGAAGCTCAAGCCCAAGCTCTCTCATTAAACCGGATGATGGATGACTTTTCCATTGTCGTTTAAAAATCAATTCAACGCTGCAGCTTTAGCAGGGCCTAAAGCGGGTCCAATTCGAATTAGCCAACCCTTTTGGGGGGCAACTGATTATCATGTTGTGGTGACCACCACCGGTCACCGCAAAAACGGCCGAAAACCCGAAGAGCAAAACCGAAACAAAAAAAACCTATAAACTGAAAACCAGTAAACGGTTCGCGCGCGGTTAACCATGACCCAAATACCCATTTATCTTGACTTCTTTTCGCCTCAGTCGCTGGCCAGAAATCTTCTGCTCCAGCTGCAGCAACAGCTACAAGCTCCAGCTCCAGCTCCAGCTCCAGCTGGTGGTCATAATCGAGAGGCTTCTTATGTAAGCGGCAGAAACCGCAGATGACGAAACGCTCATGTGGCAGCAACGGCACCAACCTGCCAGAGCCAGGCCGCCAGACAGATAGCCAGCGAAGCGATTCCGCCGCTGGACACGAAAGGTGCCACACACTCTGGGCCTGCTTCCACCTTGCCAAAGAGCTCCAGCTCTTGGAGCAGGAGCTTCGGAGGAGCTAACGTTACCAGGGGGTTGCGTGATTTGTGGCAACTGGTTTTTGGGGTTTATGTCGGCAATTTGATTCTTAGTTTACGGGGATTCTTCGGTTCATTTATTCACACCTTTCGTCAGGTATTTGTTAACACTCTGTAAATGGCTTTTGTTTTTAAAAGTATTTACAGGTTTTTGTTCTTGAGAATAGAAAGCGTTCTAATTTATGCACTTCTTTTAAATTTTTAAAATCACGTTAAGAAGTTCTAAGAATTTTTTGTTAGAAATTGCAGGGTATTTTAATTTCAGTCAGAAGCTCCAAACTCCAAAGGAGTCATTTCCGACCCTATAAATCATATATATTCTCAATCAGCATCAAAAACTGAATCAATCTAGCCATGTCCGGATGAAAAATAAATTTTCGGACTTTTTTCGAAAATTGAAAATTTTATAAGAGGTTACATCGTTAAAATTGTCAAAATTTGTCAATAAAAAAAATGTATTAAAACATCAAATAAATATCGATGTTCATATTAGTAATTTTATTAATGGTTTTACTATATTTTGCTCTCTTGATAAATATGCAAATTTATCAAATCCATATAAAAGATTAATTTTGTATGATTTTATATGGTTTTTTAGTTATTCCTTTTGTTTTAAAATAGTTTTATTTATATTTCGCACCTTTCGTAAGCTCTTTATGCATAAATCAAACTGGATTCAATTCACTGCTAGTGTGTTTTATTTAAATTTTAAATTAATTAATCCAAAGATATAGACAGACAGCTGTTGTAAGCCACAAAAACCATTTGATTTTATTTTTGTTTTTAGCTTTGTTTAGGTTTAACGAAAACTGTTATTTTGTAATATATATTTTATAGGGTAAAATTTATATTGATCTGTATTAAAATGCAGCTACCTTGATTTATTTTATAGATATATTATTATATTTATTTTAGTAATATTCACCGTTTTTTTATATTATTAGCAATCCAAATTTGAGGCAATAAATTGTTTTAATTTGTAAGCTTTACTTTTAGTTTAGTTTGGGGTTTCTTTTAAATTTGTTTAAGCCTTAGTTTTGGCAGTTTTTACCGTTTCATTTAATTTGCACTTTTAATCTTATAAATTTAATGAAGTGTCTATAATTAGCACTTACAGATTGAATGTCTTAAAGGTTATTTAAATGTTGGGAATGATTGTTTTGTTAGGTTTCAAACTTAGGCCTGATTTGAATCAAAGAAACAGATCCATTAAACCACTGATTTCACTAATTAATCCAATTAATTGATGATTCAACAAAACTGGACACAAATCAGATTTAAGGCAAGGCATTACTCTTTACGCTTTCATCAAATTCTTTGTGTTTTTTCTGAGTTATTTTTTCTTGGGATTTATCCCATTACGCCCCGTCATTTATATTTCGCACCTTTTGCAACTTCTTGGTAATAACCAAAATAAAAAAAACTGGTTAGCCCGGTGGAGGAGGTCTCAATTTGTTTTGATTTGGCTTCGGCGGCAATCACACACAATAAAAAGCATAAAAAAGGAAACAGAAACCGAAACTAAACTCCAGTTCGCGTTAAATTGAGACGATTTCCTAGGGCAGAACCCTCAGCACGAGTTGGGGAGAGTGACTAAAAGTAAATGAATCGATCACGAACGAGCGAGCTAGGCGGCGTCCGTCTGTTCACCTGAACAGGTAACAAGCGTCTGAGCCAACAACTCCTCAGTGGTTGGTCTCTGGCCGCTCTTAGACTCTGCTCTTTCACACACACACACATATACGGAAAGGCAGGCCAACAAAAGGTGAAGCCAAGTTAAGCGGTGTTAACCACTTTGGCCAAAAAGGTAACAAACGAAATGTCAGTGATTGTGTCTCTGCCTGCCTCTTAGCCCTCTCAGCCGCTTAGCCTCTCTCTTAGCCATCCATCCATCCAATCCAATCCGATCTGAACCGAGTTCTCCGTCTGCGTCAGTGACGACGGGTATTTGAACTTTGTTTAGCCTTAATGACTGACTGACTGACTGACTGACTGACTGAATGACGGACGGACAACGATACTCGATGGCTACAATGGTTACTCGGACGACGGCGACTTTGACTGCCGTGTGTGTGTTCTTGAGCTTCGGGCCAAGTGCGGATGTGTGTGACTACGTGCCTGGCATCTGTATTTAATGCTAGATACTCTAGACCCAACATTGTGCACTGCCACATAAAGTTTTTAAGTCATAATTGATTTAATCTTGGCAAAGTTTAATGGTTTTGTAGTTAGATTGTTAATTAAAATTATTAATACAATTTCATAAGCATACGAAATGATCTCCAGTTAATGTTAGATTACACTCCAGAGGTTCAAAGCTTGATCTTAAAAAGATACTTGAGCAAGAGTTTAATGTTTGTTAAAATAATGAAGAAACTAGCTCCAATTTTCTTAGAATTAAAGGTGGTTTGGCAACCACTGACTTTTTATAAGGCCTCAAGAAAATTTCAAATTTTCGTACTATTTAAATCTATATTTTTTTTATCGGATATGGCTAGATCGACTCAGTTTTGCTGATCAAGAATATATATGATTTATAGGGTCGGCAATGAGTCCTTCACTAGGTTTGAAGCTTCGGAATGAAATTTTAATACCCTAAAGAGATTATACAAAAATCTTGCATTTATATCGAACTGATACAATTATTTTAAAAAACTTTAATTTCAAGAGTAATTCCTTTATGGAATATTATTCCCCCAATTTCCCCCAGTGTCCGTTTCTCTGGGGGACTGCAGTAACTGACCCCCTCTCTTTTTATGGCCAACTCGGAAGAGGGTCAGGTTTTGTGGCCTACGCTCTGGCATTGATTCCAATTGATTTCTTTACTATATTCACTATTCACAATTTATGCTCTTTGCTCTTCCGTTCCCGCAGCAAGCTGACCAGCAGGAACCGGCAGCGCGACTCAGAACTGACGGAGACCTCGACGGAAAGTAAAACGCTGCGCCAGCAGATTGTGGCACTCAAAGCCAGCCGCGATGAGGCAATCGCAGAGAATGGGTGAGTGAAAAAAGTCATTAGCGCGGCGAGGAGGAGCAGCAGCTTCCGCGCTGAGGCAACTCCTCTTATGGCTGCCTGCCTGCCTGCCACTTCGATCATTAGCGAAGTTTTTATAATAATCTCGCAATATATTGTTGCCACAGCCGGCTGGTGGATAAACTAAGCGATGCCCAGGTGGAGGCCAGGACGCTGCACAAGAAGCTAACCGATTCGGAGAAGCAGGTGGCCAATATGAAGCAGCAGCTGCACAAGTACGTTCAGGAGGTGAAGAAGGCCGAGGATCTGCTCACCCAGAAGGTTAGTTTTATCCTTAAGACTAGATAAGTGTATGAGCTCGACCTACTATATAGGTGCGTTCTAAATTAAAGGAAAAGGAGCGAGACGAGCTGCTGGATCACTACCACTGCCTCAGCCAGGATCAAGTGGCCCTCGAGGGGAACAATCAGAGTCTCGAGTGCGAGGCAGCCGAGTTCCGGCGACAGATCTGCGACCTGGAGTGCGAGGTGCGCAGCCTCAAGGATCAATTGGAGTGCCGTCAGTGTGCTCTCAACGAGATCGAGGCCAAGTTGGCCGCCGAACGACAAACCACACGCTGCTTGCAACGAGAGCTGGATAATGCTCGCGATGATCTGCGTGTCCAAAAGGTTACTCTCGAGGCACGCCAGGAGCTGTGCGACAAACTCGATGTGGAGAAGGAAAAGCTCAATGCCGAGCTCCATGAAGTGAACGAAACGCGTAAAAAGGTGAGCTTCCGCTCGGGTCCCGACCAGTATCAGTATCTGTATTCTAGCTAGAACTCATCTTCAAAGTAGTTTTCTTCACAATTCTAACACAATTTTCTAACTAACTTGCTTGTGAGTGAGTAGCGATTGCTTTAGATTTGTAAATTACATTTGTAAACCAACTTCTTTTCCCTTTTTGACAGCTGAAAAGGGAGTGTGAAAAGCTGCGCGATGAACTGCAGCAATCGAAGGCTGTCAAGAGGGTCACCACCGAAACCACCGATCAGATGATGGAGCGCATGCACAATGATCAGCAGCGCCAGGAGGATGCCGGACTTAGGGCCAAAAACGAAATGGATCGTCTGAAGCGTCTTTATCAGCAGACTTTGGTAAGAAGAGACTCCTTTACCGGCTTTAAATTAAATTCAATTAAATTTTTTATGGAAACAGAAAGATCTAGATGAGGAACGCGATCGCTGTAGACACCAGGAGGATTTGGCCAATAAATATGAGGAACAGGTACGCGATTTGCGCCGAAATCTCACCGAGGACCGCTTCACGCGAGCAAGGACGAGTGCTGTGAGCCCCAGGATTCCCTCCAAGACCCTTTAATCCTATTATGTTTTATGTTTTAACTCAAATTTAACGTTTGGCTGGACAGAATGTCGAAATATTGTACAAAATAAAATAAATTAAATTTTTAACACTCAATAAAAATGTCTTGCAACTCTGAACTTCTGTAAACTTGTTACCTGTAGTAGGGACTTTTGGTCTGGCACATGGAGGCCAGTTGGCGATAGGTCTTGTACATACAGGGACATGCCTTAAGGGGAGGCATGAGTTCTTCTGTCCGTGGAAGTCCTTCGATGCAGCTATCGTAGGCATCCTCCTCATCGCAGCTGGACTCCAAGCAGGTGTGTTCAGCCGAACTGCTGGAACCTGGAGGTTTCAATTGATTTAATTTTATTATATACATCATTTACTACAGTGAGACTTACGCGAAGTATAATTTTCACATGGGAAAGTTGTATCCTGCGGGCGATACTTCAATGCCTGCTCCCAATCAATATGGCTGCGACACTTCTGCTCCACATGTCGCTCCTTATTCACTTCGCCTTGCTCGTCCTTAAAGGTTACTGTGCGTGTACGCTTTTCGCAGAAAGTCTCCACAATGGGCTGCTTCTCGTCGCTTTTCTTGATGATTGAGGAGCCCTGCTTGCCCGATAGTAAATGATAATGCTTCTTGGAATCGATGGACCGTGCCGTTTCATATCCATCATAGTCATATCTCGACTGTGACTGTGTGTCATCCGTCCGACTCGAATAATCCTTATTTCTGCTAGATAACCTTGAATATCCATTATCATCCTCTTGGTCCAGATTTCGAGACTTTGACGGGGGCTGTCCACGAAATATACTGATGGCATCCTCGAAGGCTTCTTTCTTTCGCTGAGATTCAGGTAACTTCATATCGAAGCTCAGGTCGTCATCGGAGCCTTCATCCGAACAATGTTCACAAGAACATTGAGGTTCGTCGGATTGATAACCCGGATTAATAACTACTGTTTCTAAAGAAGATAGTGTAGTGTCGAGATGATTCCCTACTCGTGATGATTCTGCTCCAAACGAGGTTGGACTCCGTCCACGTGAATCTGTAGCTGGGCTTTGCACATATCGAGATGATTCTGCTCTATTACTTCTAGATGATCCTGCTCCATTACTTTGCCGACGGGAATCTATAGTAGTGCTTTGCGCCATCCTGGATGATCCTTCTCCGCCCGAAATAGGACTCAAGATATCGAGATATCGAGATGACCCTCGAGTGGACTTCTCAGATCTTGGTAAGGGATATGTGAGCGAGGATCTCTCTTGATGGCGCTCAGTCTGCGTTGTTGTGATCTCTTGCTTCATTAGAGCATTGCTTTGGCGCTTGACAGATGCGTAGCTGCGGCTATTCAATTCTGATTTCTTAGGCATAGTAGATCGTTCTTGATATACCACTAGGCTATCTTTTGTAGATTTTGGTAGTTGGTCGTCTTGGCTCTCTATCGGAGTGGTAGTATGTGGGGTGCTCTTATAATCGTTTACTGGTTTGGTTATATTATCAGGCGATTTGAAGCCCCCAAAGCATGATGCATAGCTAAAGATTTTTGGATACAATTCTACAGAAGAGTCTTCTTGTTCCAAACATTCATTAGTATTCCGATCTGAAGGTTTAACTGTTGGGTTATCTTTAGATATTGAGCCTCTTTGCCCTTCTTCTCGCAGTTTTGTGTATGTGGGCGTTATCTTTGGACCTCCTCCAAGAACATCCTTGGAGTTTTCTTGGTAATACAAATTCAAATATTCCTTGTACATGCGTTCTTCTACATCAAATGATTGCTCCTTGTTAGAAGAAGCTTTCGGAGAAACTACATTTGTTGAAGGCTGATACTCCTTTTTCAATGGCGTCTCCGGCTTAGGATCCTGCACCTTTAGTAGCTTCCCAGAATTTGGTTCCTTCTCCCGACTTCGCTTTTTGTAAGGGGTGGACGTGATCTTTTTTTCATTCGTAGGGGTTCTATCCCTTGTACTTGGACTTTTTCTTTTATCTCTTGAGCTTGCACGACAAGACGATGGCGACACGGCCAGTTTAGAATTGCACCGCCGGTTGTTCGAGTTACGATCCGGCGATATTCCGATGCACCTATTACTGCAAATGTCCTCCGTATTGAGATCAGTGACCCGCCGTTTAGCGGTACGGTAGGGTATTCCGTACTGAATACCTTGATTAAATGCTATATTGCAGCAGCCATCTGTAGTTATAAAGCAACCTTGTCCGGTGGAGTTATAGCATGGATCGCTGTGGCAATAACAGTGACAGCAGCCACCACTGATTCTGGCTGCAAGTTCTTCTGGCGTGAAATCTCCACTCGAAAGTTCTCCTGGCATGGCTTCCTCCTTTGGTATGGGTTTAGTTTCCATAACTTCTTTAGGTAGTGGCTTTTCGGGATAAATTTTTTTTTGAGTGGAACTTTTTGGTGGAGATTCTCTAGTCATAAAAGCTTTTGGTGGAGGCTCTTTTGGCGGAAGTGCTTTTGGTGGAAATCCTTTGGGTGGAACATCTTTTGGCGGAAGTTCCTTTGCCGGTAGAACCTTTGGCGGTGGCGTTTTTGAAGAAAGTTCTTTAAATGGAACACCTCTTGAAGGGAGTTCTTTGGCCTGGAAAATCCTTGGCTGTGGTTTTCTTGAAGCAAATTCTTTAGGCAAAATTCCTTTTGGCGGAAGTCCCTTTGCCGGTAGAACCCTTGGCGGTGGTGTTCTTGAAGCAAGTTCTTTAAATGGAACACCTCTAGAAGGGATTTCTTTGGTCTGCAAAAGCCTTGGCTGTAGTTTTTTTGAAGCAAATTCTTTGGGAGAAGTCCCTTTTGGCAGAAGTTCTTTTGCCGGGACAGCCCTTGGAGACAGTTTTTCTGCAGAGACAACCCTTGGCGGTGGTTTTCTTGAAGCAAATTCTTTGGGAGAAGTTCCTTTTGGCAGAAGTTCTTTTGCCGGGACAGCCCTTGGAGACAGTTTTTCTGCAGAGACAACCCTTGGCGGTGGTTTTCTTGAAGCAAATTCTCTAGGAGAAATTACTTTTGGCGGATGTTCCTTCGCCAGGAGAACCCTTGGCGGAAGTTCTTTTGCCGGGAGAACCCTTGGTTGTGGTTTTCTTGAAGCAAGTTCTTTCGATGGAACTCCTTTTGCCGGAACTCCGTTAGGCGAAAATTCCTTTACCGGGAGAAATCTTGGCGGAGGTTTTCTTAGAGTGAATTCTTTAGACCGAACTCCTTTTGGTGGGAGTTCTTTAGCCGGAAGAACCCTTGGCGGTGGTTTTCTTGAAACAAGTTCTTTAGACGGAACTCCCTTTGACGGAGGTTGTTTTACCGGGAGAAACCTTGCCGGTAGGTTTCTTGTAGCAAGTTCTTTAGTTGGAAATCCTTTGGGTGGTAGTCCTTTTGGTGGAGGACCTTTTGCCGGGAGAACCTTAGGCGGAAGTTCTTTCCCCGGGAGAATCTTAGGCGGTGGTTTTCTTGATGCAAGTACATTAGTCGGATGTTCCTTTGGTGGCAGTCTCACTGGTCGGGTTTCTTTTGGCGGTTGTTCTTCAGGAAGTCCTCTAGGCGAAAACCCCTTTAGCGGAATTCCCTCTAGTTGTGGTTTTCTTGAAATGACTTCTTTTTGCTTCACATCTTTGAACAAAGGTTTTGGAACATCATCTGTTGACGAAAACGTTATTTTACCAGTTCAAAATATGCTTTATATAGATTACCCAGATATGTACGCCGTCCACGTGCAGGATCATGCTGTCTGTTGGGGACCAGGACACTGCGCAATGGTCGATTGGCTTTAAACCTTTCGGCCCAGGTCATTTGCCTCTCATCCTTCTTGTTATTCAAACTGTTGTTAACTTCTTTCAAGCGTTCTATCTCATTGTTAATCTGATGATTCAGACTCTCTACCCGTTCCCGTGTGTGATGGATCTTCGCGATGTCATCCGACGATGAGGAAGTGCGGGCAACATTCAGGGGGGGATTTCGATAGAGCCTGTGATCATTAAAGTAAATCCGTTCGCTTGTCTCGATAGAGAAGCGTTCCTGTCTTTCAAGGACAAAGCTGTGACCTGTGGAGTAGTATCTATAGTATATTTATAGTTTCTTTTAAGGACATTATACCTAAGACGCGTCTGTTCTTATTCTCCATTGGGAATTAGTGAGCTCGTAGAAAATATATATGTAACAGGAGCTTCCAATGTTTCCACATAGAGATGCGATGAGTGTTTGCTTTCACATTGATGTATTTTGACCAACAACTTGGATTACTATTTTTGGAATAATTAAAAGTATTTTAAACAGCTTGAAAGAGCTTCAAGCATTAGGTTTAATATTCCCGCAAAGAAAACAAAATTGTTTTTAAAACAGTTGCTTCTTAGATTATATATTTTACTCGCACTAAAGAATATTACAATCAAATTTGTATTTTTTGTTAAATTGACATTGCTTAATGCCAGGGATTTTGGTACGCGTGTAGACTCTTATCCGAGTCGTGTGTATTGCAAACGAAAAAGAAATACTAAAAATAAACGATCAACAATTTGTAATTAACTACAATAGAGTCTAGGTATAAGAACTGCATCAGGCAATGCCATGTCAGAGAGAACACAAATACTATTACAGGCCAAGGACAAGGACAAGGACAAGGACAAGGACAAGGACAAGGACAGGGGGCAAGCAAACACCTCAAAATAACAAGATGCATAACAACACGACACAAGTTGAGAGCTTACAGAGAGCTCATCTTGTTATTATTAGGTCTTTGGTAAAGGAGCAGGGGACTGCGATTGGAATTATATAGCACTGGGGCTTGGTGGGGCTTCCTAATCTAAACTATCCATACCTTTTATGGCTCTGAACCGCTGGCACTACTAAACTGGCTGCTGGAGAGCGGAGTGCTAACATCGCGACTCTCACCGTTGAGCAAATATACCGGAACACGGCTGGTCACCAGCTCGAGGTTGTGCGTGGGCGAGAGCAGGGCGCCGGTGTCCTCTCCGTCCTCCGGTTCAAGCATTGGAGCTGCAATAATCTCCAGTTCATTGCCTACCTCGGGCACCAACTCCTGATCAAACTCGTAGGCGGCAGGATCTGTTGCTGTTGTTGTTTGTTCGACAACAGGAACAGTGTCGGGGACGGGCACGGGCACGGGCACCGGGTCTGGATCCGGTTCTGCTGTTAGTTCTTCATCTGGCGCTGGATCAGGCTCTATAGAAGCTATAATAACTGCTTTGGTCACATCATCCGCTTCTGAATCTATATTTGGACAAGCAGACTGCAGGTAGCTTTTCTTCATTTTATTCTTGACATGTGTCCAGAGATTTTTCTTCGTTTTCCTTCGCCGCCTTCGCTTTGGCTTTGTGTCCAGCTTTGGCTTTTCGCCTTCAGATGGGGATTGTGTCTCTCCATTTGCCTGGTGAAGATCCTCCTGATGCTTCTGCAGCTGCTCTTCCAGCTCCTCGAGCAAATGCTGCAGCAGTTGCTCCTCCTCTGCAGCCGGACGTTGCACCTCCAGCTCCTGCTGATTGTCCTCGTGCAGCAGCTGCTCTTCCTCCACATTTTCCGTCAGGGTATCCTGATTCTGATCATTCTCCACTGGCTGTTGTTCATCGATTTGCTGTTGCTCGTGCAGATCATGATACTCCTCGGCCACCTCCTGTTGGTCTGTCTGCTGAGGCTGTTGTGGTGACTGCCCTCGATCATTGGGATCACCCTCTGATTCGTGGCTCTTGAGATTTATACGTTTCAGTCTTACAATGGGATACCTGCCCTTTTTCTTCGCGGATTCCTTGGTCTTGGGTGTCGGCTGAACCGCCTTCAACGCCTGTTCTTCACGGAGTAATTTACGCTGTCGCTTCCTGGCCTTCTTGTTCAGCTTGCGCTTCTCCTTCACCACATGATTGTCGATTCGCATTATTTTCTCTTGCTTTATCATCAATCGTCGTTGTTGAATCTTCTCGCGCTGCTGGCTCAGCAGCTCATTGTAGAACTTTACTTGGCCGTCCGGTGGCCACTTGGATTTCTGCTTTCGCGTTGTCGTGGTGGATACGCTTTGAACATGGCACGGACTACTGGAACTGTGCGTAGAAGCTGGCGGAGTTGGCAACCCAACCTTCTTGTTATGGCTAGATGTGGCCGGTTGTATCCGGGTGGGCGTTCCACTAGAGGCGTTGCTGGTGGTGGGCGTTAAATGGTTATCGCAAATAGTTTGATGGTTCTTAGCGTCCAGCTTCGCAAACATTCTCTCGCTGGCCTGGAAGTGCTCTGCAAGGGAATGGATTTATCAGTAGAATTCAGAGAACAAACCAGAGAGAAAATCCTCTTACCGTTACGCGCCTTCCGCCGGATCATCTCAATGCGTTCTGCCTTAGATGTCCTTCTCTGACGCTTGATCGACGACTTCTTTGATGCGACGCGTGCTGACGAAGGCGCACCGCTTGGTGAAGTGGCACCCAAATGCTGGGCACTGAAGGTAACCTGTTTCTTCAGAAGCGACGTCTCGCTGGCGTTGCTGCTGGGGTTTTGACTAGAAGATTGACGGCAGTGATACAGCGGGGTTCTCTGACCGCTGTCAGCATCGCTGCTGCTCCTGCTCCGAGGGAATATGCTTCGGTATGGGTCGAGATCCTGCGCCGGCTGCTCGTCAGCCAACGTTTGTACGCTTTGGTCGACAAGATGCGGCGCTGTAGTGGACACCAAATGGAGGCTATCCCTGCGGCAGCTGTAGCTATTAACAATGCGCGGTACTGTATAGGTGGCGGTGGGCGGGATCGTAGCTACTGTCCGCTCGTAGGTGCGCAGGTTGCTGGGATAGATGCGAGTGACGTTCACGGAGTCATCCTCGCCGACGATCGCTGTCGATGTCTGATGTGCTGCATCATTCGAGTTTGAGTTGGAGTTCGACATGATGCCATCCACGCTGGCGGGCACATTGAAGTTTACGGAGAACATTTCCATCTCGTCGTCGGAATCGCGCAGATCGACAATCTCGACGGAATTGTCGATGCCGCTAAAGAGAACATTGGCCCGCTTGCATGGCTCCAAATGGCGGGCATTCCGGCAGAGGTTCTGCAGGAAAGCAGGTGGATTATGGTTCGTCACAGGCGATTTTTCTCCCATGGTGGCATTCCACATCTGACAACTATCCTCATCATCCGAACTGAGCACCTGTGAATGGAATATTTACGAAAAAGAGTTGATTAAAATTAAGAAAATGCAGGGCATCAAGGGATCCTTGCTGCTTAGGGCACTCAGCTGAGGTTGTAGTCATTTTTGGGACAGCACCCTGGAGCCGGCCACTGTCTTGTTGCGCAACTAACTGCGCTGACAGCCGCTTTTGCTCCACAGCACTTATCCGAATCAGACCTTTTACTAAGACATCATAGTTAGGGCAATAAATGCCAACACTTTGTCGAGACATCGAGCATGGAACACTGCAGCAGCATCACTTACCACTTCGTTGGCTTGAGGCGGTCGGTTATCCATTCTGCTGGCAATGTGAAGACTGGTGCAACTGTTTTGCCGCAAATAGTTCAATATGGCTCGCGTGGCCGTACTCTGGACGGTTAACTTGGGCAGGTAGGCGGCATACATACTCCTTGTGGTTAAAGATTCCGACGGTCTCATAAATTTATCAGCAAATGTCACGATGCGCTCCTTTAGATCCTCGTCCGGCTCTAGGCGGTACCAGTAGTAGAAAATGAGTATATATTCGATGTACAGCTTGTCGGGCAGCTCGACTTGGATCATTATACTAGGCATCGACCAGTGGGGAAAGAGGCGGCTTTAAAAAGAATAAATAAATGGATTAATTTGAATAATCTGACAATGTTATATGTATATACATACCTGTATAGCACAGACAGAATACTGGCTCTGTTGAACAGCTTGGGCGCTGCCAGGAGAGTGCGCAGCACGTGCTCTTTATGGACGCCAGGACCTCCTTCTCCATGCTCCACATACAACTTGAGGCAGGTATTGATCCGATTAATTATGCACTTGTCAGCCTCGACCGACGCCTGGGCGGCGCACAACTCGCAGGATATGTAGTATCCAACAATCTGACACATGCGTTGCCAGTAGTTCTCGTCCAACTGAAGTGCCCGGCCCTGCATCATGCTGTGTACGATGTCCGTGAGCCCAATTATGATGTGCGCCAGCTGTCGACACTGGGAGGGCGAATGCTGCGCCCGCTCAAACTCCTCCCGAATGGCACTGGAAAGGTGTTAATGGTATCAAACTCGAGCAGCTGTGTTAGCAAGCGAGACTTACCTCTCGAACTGCGTCAGCAGTCGGGCCATGCGCTTGTCAAAACCATCATCATCGTTCAGGGCCGCAATGGCATCACGTATCTTCCGCCGCGTCTCGCCCAGATGACTAAACTCCGCCGGTTCGGCTTCCTTCGGTTCGTTGTTGTCTGTCGTCTGTAGATCCGGATCCGGTTCGGACGATATGGACTCACTATCGTCCGCATTGGCCTCGATGCTGACCTTGTCGAAATCGTCCTCAGCAGCGCTGCCGCTGTGCCGCCGCCTGTTCCTCCTCCCGGAAGCCTGTTGTGGCTCGCAAAGGCAACTCATGCCGCTGGAAAGTGCGAAGCGATATGATGAATGCAAATGTTCGCATACAAAAGATTCGCGATGAAAGAAACTAGTTATTCCAGTGAAAGTCAGCCCCCCTCTCGACCCTTACGCGCAAAATTAAAAAGAGAGAGAAAAAAAAAGGCCAAAAGAAAACATATACATGTATGTATATGCGTACGTACCTGTGTAAATGTTCGTTTTGAAGGCTTTACGCAGGAAATTTCGCTAGTCCTTCACAAGACGCACTGCAGCAGATTGGATTGCGCGGAAACATATTAATTTTGCGATTTTAATATGCGGCGCACTGTTTACATATACTTTTTATACATCGAGCAGGAGCAGGCAGAACCGATTAAAGAGCTTCCGTCAGATGACGGGTTTATACCATGCGCATCTGCGGTATATCGCGTTTATCGCACATCGTGAAATGCTGCCCTCACGCTTCATGTTTAATTGTTTCGTAACTTCTGCGCAAGGCACCGGCTGATTAACTTTTCATTTGTTTATGTGTGTAGCTGCTGTGTATGCCTCGCTGTTCAGTTAGTTTGCACTATATTCTGTCAACACATTAAGTCAATAAATCCAAATGCGCGATAAAGGACAACGTGGGAACGAAACAGGCGCGAAGCCATTGCGTTTCGTCAGTGTTGGAAAGTGTAGTCCTTGCGCCGTTAATGCGTTTATGCGGTGCCATAGTTTTAACACTAAATTAAATAAAATCATATTAAAGTTGAGGTAACTATAAATATATCAGATATAAATAATAACATAATAATATATTAAGTTAATAAAAAAATAAATAGAACAACGCTTATACATACCAGTTATCGTTTGACTAGATTCTGGTGAACTCTAAAATCACGAACAACGAAGTCATAAAGTTATTTGATTTTCGATTAAACCGTATAAACAAGGTAACACAATACCACTTCAACTTATACAACACTGTACAAGTTATAATGTAGTCGGGATACCTATCGATATCTATCTTAAAATTAAATATCTTTTTTACTCTAAATTTAGTTGCATACACTACGAAATTTCTTTATAAACATAAATATACAAATAATTTTTAAAATCTTAAGGTAGACCTGCCGATACATCGATTGCACTAAAATCGATGATTTGTTTGCTGTCGCGATGTTTTTACATGTAAAACAGAAGTCAATCGAATTCTTAAAGTAACAGCTTGAAATATTCAAATTCAAATAAATAAGTCACATTATGTTTAAATTACTACATTCCGATATAACCCCATAAACTGTTATAGTTCATGGTACCCCAACACACTTTCAATTATTATTTACTTAACAACTCAATTGATCAACCCATAAAACAGAGTTTCTTGTTTTAATGTTGTTTACCAACTTTATTTGTTACGTTCTTAATCAGTTCTTTCAATGATTCTAAAAATTCCAAAATAGAAAACTTAAAGAATTACATATTAAAATTTATCGCTCATTCTTCATTAAAACTGAATTTTTGTTAAGTTTACGCAAATCAACGGACGTAACATCGCGCAGAGAGCGTTAAATAAAATCTGCGTTGCAATTAAATACAACAGGCAGAAATTTAGTAAGTATTGCGAATAAAAACCGTGGGCGGGAAAAATGCTTAGATGGCGCCGCATTCGAGACGTTGCCTCGCCCAGCTGACCCCATCGCCCCAATGACTGACAAAAACTCAGCCGACGATGGGGATGGGGAAACTCTAGGCGGGGCGAACGAGCGAGCGAACACAGGACGCCGGAGAAGACGTTGTTAGGAATAAACTACAGAATGTACGTTGCTAAGTTGTGGCATTTTGTTGTTTGTTGCACGGATGTTGCTGTTCAAATTGTTGGATTTTCTTCGTTTGTTTTGCGTGTTTAGATGTGTTTGTGTGTGTGTGTGTGTGGTGGATTTACAATTCGTCCTTCTTGGGCGCCTCCTCCTCCTCGGTCTCCTCGACGGGGTCAGAATCGGCTTCACCGTTCGAATCGAGGAACTTGATGAAATCCTCGAGGGTCCTGTCCAGATTGTAGTCGATGACCTTGTTGTCATCCTTGCGGAAGTACTTGATCGTGGGGAAGGATGAGATCTTGATGCTCTCCAGCTCGTTGGCGGTCGAGTCCATCTTGGCAATGACGATGTCCTCGTTGTCCTTGTACTTCTCAGCCAGCTGGTCGTAGATGGGAGCCAGCTGCTTGCAGTGGCCGCACCATGGGGCGTAGAACTCAACCAGCACGCTCTTGCTCTTGTCCAGGGCAACGCTCTCAAAGTTGCTGGAGACCAGCACCTTGACGGGGTTCTTGTCCCAGTCCTCGGGCAGATCCTGGGACAGCAGGTGCTGCTTCAGCTTGCCGTCGAGGAACTTCTTGAGGAAGGCCTCGATGGTCTCGGCGGACAGATCGTTCGACTCGGGCTTGTACTTGGCCATGTCCTCCTCCAGCTTGATCAGACGGATGGTGGGCACCTCCTCCTTGTTCATGCCGAAGAACTCAAAGATGCGGGTGTGGTCCTCCTCATCGGCCGAGATGGTCACGAACAGGATGTCGTTGCGGTACTCCTTGGCGATCTCCCTCAGAGGATCCACGTACTTCTCGATGTGACCGGCCTCCTTGGACACGAAGAACAGCAGGTGCGACTTGATCGAGCCACCGAAGATCTTGGAAGCGGACTCATGGTTGAAGTCAACGATCAGAGGCAGGGACTGCACCTGGGCGAACTTCTTCAGACTCTCCTCGGTCAGCTCACCATCGAACACGGACTTCTTGTCATCGAAGGGCTTGAACAGAATCACTCCGTTGTCGCTGGCCTCATACTTGGCAATCACTTCGGCATTGCTGCTCACACCAAAGACGAACGAGTCCAGGGCGTTGGCGGCCTTGGTGAAGGTCTTGGCCTCCTCCGACTCGGTATCCTTGAAGAATCCAATGATGGCGATCTCGTTGTCCTTAAGGAACTGCTCGGCATCAGCAACGCTGGTCAGCTCCTTGGCCGGAGGTCCGGTCTTCTTGTTCACCCAGGCGATAATGTCGGCGGCCTGGCGACCACCGCTGTACTCCACGGGAGCGCCGCTGCGGAAGAACTTCAGTGTGGGATAGCCGCGCACAGCGTACTGCTCGGCGAGCTCACCCTCAACGGTGGCATCAACCTTGGCCAGCTTGATGGGCGACTCCTTCTCGGCCAGCTGTTGGGCAGCCTTGGCATACTCGGGAGCCAGAGCCTTGCAGTGTCCGCACCATGGAGCATCTAGAAGGATTCAAGGGAGGTGATACAAATTAGAGCTTAGTCTGGTGTCCAAGGGGTTGCTGGTGAGCTATGTATGAGCTTCAAGATTAATTTGAGCTCTAATTGATCGAGTTCGCCACAAGTCTGGTGCAACTACACGTGTATGTTGTGTTTATATAAATTATTTATTGATTTCATCTATAATTATAGCTTAAATGCTTCTCATTTAATTGACATGCTTGCTAAACTAATAGCTCAGAACTAAGCGGTTTTAATTACTCATAGTTAACATGTTTTAATTACTATATTTCCAATTTTTTAAACGATTTCCCGAAACTTGTCTTATTTAAAATTACCAATAATTCAAAAGTAAAACGCTTTTAATTATATTCAGAGTTTTGGAAATGCAAATGACACAATGAAACTACTTTTACTGGAATTGAACAGGTTCTATAAAACTCGAAAATTAACATATGCTAATTATAAAACGTTGTTTGCTTAAATATTTATTTGCACCAGGTGAAAATGGGTTAATAGGAGTTTCTAGATAAATGCCAAATTCTCTGTGACAACATCACCGATTTCTTGGTTTCTTCCTTAAGCTGATGAAATATAAAGGAAATAAAATGTTGCAAAATAAAATGAAACTAGAAAAGGGAAGATAGAAGATAAAGAAAGAACTTGGCGGTAAATAATGAAATCTACAGCTTTTGTTTACATTAAACGTTTTTGTTATAATTACAAATAGTAGCCAAGGGGCAATAACTGAAATAAAGATTATAAATGACCTGAATTATTCTACAGCAACCAGTCAGATGATGCTTTTAAATGCTTTGATTATATCTCTTGTTTACAACAAACTGCATTTAATTATTTATTTCTAGCTCGTTAACCGAGTGTGAAATTCTGAATTAGGACCAACAATTATGTGCGCTAGATTTGCCATGGATCTGGAGCAAGGCCCCCCTGTCCATATGGCAGGCTCTTATGCAAAATCCACGTGTCGCCCCCTCATTGCCCCAAGTGCAGCTGAAGGAGATGGCTCCTTAAGAGCCACGGCTGCAATCTGGCACGCATCCATGACCCCGAATGATTATTACTGAGAACCGGCTGGCAGCGGCAGCAGATGACATAATGCCCCCCGAGCTTGACAACGCCTTCGTCTCCAGCTTATCGCCAGCTTCTGACGTGGCCCTAGCATTGGTTCCGCTTCTTGGGACTACAACTACGGGAGATAAGCGCTGCGCTGCGCCGCGGATGAGCAGGCAATTATCGACTTAGCTGACGTTGTCACCTCCGAGCACACGGAGCGGCAACACACCAACGCCAACGAAAAGTGCAAAAATTTAATTAAACAAATAAAAGAGAAACGTTGGCGTAAACAAAGACCCAAGGGTCGCCATATTTGTTGGCACCCAGAGATGGCAAGCATATCTGACGATTTAAGGCTGAATGGAGCACGAAATGGGGGACTTTTTTTGTATCACTTATTTTTACTTCGATTATCTTTCAAGTGCGTTTTGACTTTTGAGATAAGAATGGGCTTCAGATTTTAATTTTTTGGCAAACAACAATGAAATTCATTGAAGGTTTCTAGATACAAAAAAAGCCACTTGTTGGGTAAATTTTTTTTTAGATATAGTGTTAAAGAACTGTCATATTTTAAGTCTCATAATAACAAAAATGCTGTAAGAAGTATAACTTTTAATTTGTAAGGCTTTTTTTCTTTGTAATTTCTGTGTTTTTATATCATTTGCATTTCAATTAATTATTTATATTTTTAATTCTAAAAAAAGACTATTTCACAATTCTAACTACAATTGTTTACAGTCTGCAAGCAAATTTTTTTAAATTTAAACCTAACTTTTAAAGACGCTTTTCCCCGCCAACAAAAAAATCTGTTGCTCAGCCATCACTGGCGGCGGCACCGTTAGGCACGCGCAGAGGAAAAGAGTTGAATGAACTTTCCACTGCGTGGCTGCCGCGCCGCCGTGGAAAAGGGCCGAAACCAGATTTGGAGTAAGCATTAGAATCCGACGAGGAATCGGAATCAGAATAGAAAGCAAATGGCGAATAAAAAGTGGCTTGCTTTGGCTAACCTAGATTCGTGAGAGAAAGAGGGAAGAAGAGTTGCCCGACGGCTTTTGTTCTTTCATCGAGAGATTCACGCTCCCCGGGAGATTGGTGAAGCGGATGTGGCCACGCCCAGGGTTAGAGTTAGAACAAAAACTAGAATTACTGATAAAAGTGAAAAACATGGAGGCGGGAGCCACGAATAAGAATATTAATGCTTACTGCGCACAAGTTTGTGTCTCCTTTGGCACTTGGCATTTCGAATTTATAGCAGGTTTATGGCTGGGGCAATAACAACAATTACCGCTGGAGCTAGCTCTCTCTTTCTGATACCCGGCTCCCACAGGTGTGCAACAGAGACGGCACTTGCACGCAACACGGGAGAGCGCGCTCCCCGCTCTCATCGATGCGAGAGGGAGATAAAAGCGGTTAAACAAACGATAAAATTGACGAAAATCGTACAAACAAATGTTCATATGCCTCACACGGAAAACAATTGTTTCAATTAGTGTTTGCTTATGCCGTCAAACACGGTGTACTTGCCCTGCACTAGCCGGATTTTCCCCCCGCAGTTTACTACTGCCACGCAGACAGATTTTCTCTGACGCCGCGAAAGACCACGTAGCCGCTAGCCAAGCATGAATCAGCGAGAGCGAGCGAGAGGCAGACAGCGGCCGGCGCTTCCTCAGATTGCGGATTTCGAGACTTTTTGGCAACTTTTGCAACTTTATACTTACAGAACTCAACCAGCACGAATTCGTTGTCGGCAATCAACTGTTTGAAGTTGTCCACCGTCGCCACCAGCACTCCTTCCTCCACTTTGACCTCCGCCTCGGCGGACGCGGCCGCCACGTAGGACGCCGCCACGAGCAGGGCACAGATTAGGAATTTCATCGCGGGTCTTCCAAATAGCCGACTATATGTCTGGAGCAGCACAAACAAGATCGAACTTGTCCGGTAGCAAGTAAAAATCGAAATGAAACTTAGTACAAATCGAAATGAACTTGTCCAAATCGAGATACGAGTCAGTGTGGCCAGATTAGCTTACTTATATCGGACTATATTTGGCATTTTTGAAAAACTGAATCGCTTGTGATATTTCAAACTAGATAATGGCCTTAAAAAGAGCTTATTTAATATGCGTTTATCATATTATCTTTTAGTTAAGATATATAATTAATTAATTATTTTATAAGAAATATAAATATTCAATATGTATTTAAAGACATGTAATTTAACATCCCCGTGTTAAGATTTACATTTGACACGTGTAAATAACAATTTTACACGTTTAAAGATCTGGCTTAATTTTTGCTTAACTTAAATGAGAAAAATATAAAATGAAATTAAATTTTAGGAATTGAAAATAAAAATCTAAGACAGTACAGGAAACGGCATCGGATATCACAAAGACTAGTGACCATAAGAAATCGCTTTACAAAGGTGCTAAGAAAATAACAGTTTTTCAAAAAGTTTTCAGCATTCCTATAAATTTTAATATTAATTTTTCATTTTCAGTTTAAAAAAGTTTAAATTAAGAAACTGCGCGTGTTTCTTTAACTATATGGCTAAAAAAAAAATATTAATTCACCTGTTAAACGAATTGTTTCAATATATTTAAACAACTTGGAAACATTACAGATGCCTTGCTTCTTTTGTTTTCTTTAAATATGTATTCAATAGACTATTTTTATTGTAATAAAAAATTCATTTCCTTAGTTGCAATACTGTAAAACATGAAAAATGGAGACTCCGATAAAATGCACATTGAGTTCTTTGCAATCATTAATGCCTGTAATTAAGAGCTACATTCACAGGCGGCCACCTGTTGAACGCATTGTTCTACTATCTTGAAAAGGATCTCAGAGGTTGTCTCGCTACTGAAAGGCTTGTCAATGGGCGGTACATGAACAAACAGACTCCTTTTGGTGTCCATGTCCAGAGACTTTAGATAGATGTACCCGCAGAGGAAGTCACCTACGTTCTTGGAGACCTTTGTAGCGCTCGGGGTCTTCGGGTTATCATTATGAGGGGTGGCTATGGGATTATTGGCAGCCACACACTCGTCGCATGTTGCATTTACGGTCGCCACAATCTTATCCACATCAAGGCCACAGCGCAATACATTTGCGCGGCCATTACGCTGGAGTTCACAGCTGGCGTTGGGCAAATAATTACCGGAGTTGTCAGGCCTTCTGAACTTGTGGTTATAAGCCAATTTCTCCACATAAACGCACTTGGCGATGCCCGAAACGCCAACATGTATGACCAGCTGGTAATGGGGGGCGAGAATGATATCATCACGATGGCTATTTACGGTTCAATTGAGATGTGGGGTACTCTTACGTGTGGCTCGCGGCTCCATATCTCTGTCACAGCTTCGTCCACGGCCGAGTACTCGACGGGAACCAAGCGCTTCTCCAGGCCATAGTCCACGCCATTGTGGCTGAGGACCTCTGGCAAGAGTTTTACAGCCTCCCAGCTGGCGTTTATTGATTCGTGACCCACAAATGGTCCGAATCCGGAGACGACAATTAGCTTTCGATCCGAAGAGGCCATAACAAAAACAAACCCCCGCCCACACAAACTATTGCTAGGGTTGACAATTTAGCTATATTATTTCGATAGATCTTTGGTCTTATTGAAGCCAAAAGTATAATGTGTTAAATTTAACTAAATAGCATTAAATGGGAAAATTGTTGTGTATCAGTCAATGGTTAAGTAAAATGCAAGAGCTAAAAAATTTAAGAAATACGCTGCAAGTATCTTGTTTTTATCAGCTTCTAATGTATTTCTAAAAACAACATTTGAATTTTACACTTGGAATCGATAACTGTCAAACTATCGATTTCCAAAATCGTTTTTCCCCCAGCTCTAATTGTAACTCGGACAACAACAAAGATATACACATACATTCCAGACCAAAATCCGTGCAGATGCGCCATCATCGAACCAGACTCTGAGAATCAGCATTATCGAACCAGAACCGATCTGAGGAATTAGGTGAGCAATTGGGACTAATCTAATCTTGCGGGCGCTTAGCTAAGGCACTACGCTGGCAGCGACGCCGGCAGAACGAACGCACACAGGTGAACTTTGCACATTAACTATTCATTAACCTCTCGAGCAGGGTGCGCCGGCGGAAGAGCGGAAGCGGTGAAAGGAAGACAAGTGGCACGACCAGCAGTTGGCACTTTTCACACACGCACTCCACCACCAACACCACCACCACCGTCAACCACAACTCAGTGTCCAGTTGCCACCATGCTGTCGAGGCTGCAGGACTTCTTGTCACGCCACCGGCGGAAGTTCATCGTGACCGGCGTGCTGGTGGGTGGTACCATCATTGCGGCAAAGTACGCCCAGCGGCGCCTGGTGGAGTTCCAGGAGAAGCAAGCGCGCGAGTTCTTTGAGCGGACGAGACGGATGCATCATTTTGAGTCGACGGAGAAGACCTGCAACCAGGTGATACTCGGAATGGGCGAGGAGATGTGCCAGGCGGTGCTGAGGGAGTGCAGCACGGACGAGCTGCTCGAGCAGCTGCGCCAGAACCCGAAGAACAAACTGGAGCTGTGGGAGGACATGAAGATTGTGGCGTTCACCCGGCTGGCCACCTACGTGTATGCCTCCTCCATGCTTGTCATCGCTTTGCGTGTGCAGCTGAACCTGCTGGGAGGTTACATCTATCGGGATATTATGACAGAGCAGAAGCAGATCACGGATGAACTGAAGCAGCAGTATCTCTCGCTCATCCGACACTTTATTACGGAGTCGGGCATCCGGGATCTGGCGCGATACATACGCAGCCAGGTGATTGCCGTCATCAAGTCAATGCCGCTGTCGGAGAAGCTCTCTCTCAACGACATGGAGCAGCTCTTCTGGTCGCTCCAGATGGCCATCAACGCGGATTCGCGACGGGATCCAAACTCGCGGATGAGCAAGTACCTGCTGCCCAGCCAAAACCCCAGCCATTCGCCGCTACTGCAGCAGATGTACAACGAGACGCTGGACCTGCTAGAGAGCGAGGATGCCATTGGCGTTTGCTCGCACAACGTGAGTCGGGGCTTTGTGCTTGCCTGCGACGCCATCGCCGAAGCCATGGGCCAAACGCTTCAGCACTTGCCCCCGGGCGAAGTGACCAAGCAGCAGGAGAGCCAACAGCCGCTGAAGTTTAATCAACCAGCAAGCAGCAGTAGCACCCAGAACCTGGACAATGCCACATCGACATCGACGACAACAGTGGCGGCGTCGGAGAACAATAACTTGCTAAACATCAACCTGGTACTAATGGCGCTGGCCAAACTCATTCCGATCATTAGCGGGATCACCTCTCGGGGCTTCGACACCACGGCCCGACCCCATAACCTACCCACCCAGCTGCTCACCTTCTACGTTGTCGCGGAGAAGACAAAGACGCTGGGGGCCAATGTCTACGAGACCTTTAGCTCCGCTTAGGAGTAAGCGCTCTGATTATTATGCTCTATGAATTATACATAGACTAGGACTAGGCTAAGACAATTGGAACATTATAGTTATTGTGTACATGTATATTTTTAATATGAACCCCAATCCTCTGAAGCGTTGTTTGTCTGTCTGCTTGATCTGTTTCCACATCCCGTATTAAGTCTAGCTCCTAAGAATATTTAATCGAAAGCGAATGTAAGGTAATATGTTTAAGCAGATCTATAAATAACGTCCACACGAGGAAACCTTTTACGACAGGGACAAATCGAAAAGAGTAACGAAGGCCTTTTAAAATAAATGGAGTATGTAATTTGTGCATAAGAACAACAAAGAACAAAAGCTGCTTTTTAGTGGTTATTTGGGTAAGAAAAACGTAATGGAAACCAATTATGTGTAAGATCCATCCACATTCAAACTAAAAGCTTATTTTCCATAAAAAATTTATGTTTATATTACTTAAGACTTAATGTACCTACTTAAAAATGGATTGTATAATAAATGACATACATTTAAAGTTGCCAATGGATTTTTAATGTGTGTCTAAAAAATAAAGGATTGATTTTTTTTTAAAGGTTGTGTACTTTTAATCAACAGAAAATTAAATTGTAATGTAAATTCCAAGTAATATAAAGTAGGATTTTGTATTATTACCTTTTCGGGGCTTTCTAAATATAGTTTTTAATGTAGGGAACGTGAACAATAATTATATTGGGAAGTACTGAGTTTTCTATGATCTGTTTCACATAGAGCTTCTATACTATAGAATTCTTTTATTTAAAAATTTAAATCAAAGATCCTTAAAAGCGTATTTAGCCTGGACACAAACCAAGGATAACGCCTGTCACAGCTATCAATGAAAAGGGGGTGGCAAAAAAACCGCCCTGCGAGTTGATAAGACAGCTGTGTGTGCCTCTGCTTTTGTTTGTTTGCCATTTCTCTTGTTCTTGCCGCTCTCTCGCTTTCCCACTCTCCCAGCACTTGCGCAGAAATGCCGCCAAACACAAAGTGCTTAATATTACTACAAATTGCAACATTTTAATGGAGAGCTCCTAAAAAGTTTTCATGTTATTATCAAAAAATAGAGTGAAAAATGGGTTAAGTCAAATATTTTAACAACTGCTTGTAGCAAAAAATAACGGCATTGCAGTCTATCCCCTCTATCCGGCACGGGTTCTCTCCGCTGCTCTCTCTCACTCCTTTTGGGTGCCCAGCTGTCTAGTAAAAGGAAACACATTTACATTTCCCATTTTGGGCGCAGTTGCAAAAGTTACGTGAAAAGGCGAAGGACAATAGTTACTACCTAAAAAAAACCGTGTGTGTGTGTCGGAAAAATAATTGCAAAAAGGCAAAGAAATTAAATGAAATAACACGGATTTAAGGCAATTTCGAAAAAAGAGCAAATATGAGAAAGACTGCGAAATGTGCAAAAATTAACATGGCCACAGGACGAAGAAGAGCCTAAGAAAGAGGATTGCAACAATAACAAACAACAACAACAACAGACTCCATTGTGTAAGTGCATCACGCTTGCAAACCGTTTTTTGACCAAGACTCTCGAGGGTTAAAAGCCTACTTAACCCATCAACTTTTGAGTAACGGGCCACGGTTTTTATTGATTAAGAGAGAAAAAAAATCAAACAGGAAAGCAAGACACATAGGACACACGTGTGTGAGGAGGACAGCCATAACAGCGGTAAAATGGTACCGCTAACGGGACAGACACACAGACAGACGATTGCGTGCGTAAAAAGCGAGGGGGGGTGGCGTTGGGTTGGAAAAATGTGGGAACACAGGCAGGAATATTATGGAAATACCACCTATCATATGAGGCCTAAAAATATGATAAAATATTATTATTATAACCATTATTGGGACCACAAGTGAACAGCTATCAAAGTAGCAAAGTTATGGCCAGTACCAGGGAGAGACTCCATTCATAAAGAGGGTGTGAGAAAGCTAAGCAAAACAAAGGATAGTCTGCAGGTTCTTGGATCTAAGGTTGGAATACTTAGCCAGAGAAGTCCAATAATAATAAGGGATCAGGTTTTATAATTTTCAAATTATTTTCAATTTCCTATTAGCACTTCATTTAAGTACAAATATTTAAGTACTTTAAGTCCTTCAAAGAGGTGCCTGAAAGTATGCTATAAATTATGTTATGCACTAAATGTTCGCTTGAAGATATAACATTTTGTAGCAGACATCCTGTATGACACTTTTATAAAGGTCTTTAAGACATTGGATGTGTTTCTCCTTTTTTAAAGTCCTGAAAAAATTTTAATTAATATTTGAATAGGAGTGCGTTTCCATACATTCCATTCAACTATTGCTCTCAACGTTTGAATATCCTTTCTGACAGGATAATAAAATTGTAGCCAAGAAAGTCAAGTGCGACAGCGTGAAGACAACAAAGAAATGTCATTTCCCCCAGACCAAAAGTCCATGTGGGATATTTGTGGAAAACAATGCATGCAAGTCAGGCAACCGACCCCAAACCCAACCTCTTCTCTCAACGACCTTCCCTCCTCCCACATACACTGCCACTCTAAGTTTCCCCCAGTGCCTTGAGCCTCCTATATATTGTATATATAGGCATATTGACATACTAAAGGCATAGATCAAGTGCCTTGACAAGAGGCCACAGCACCTAACTAAATATAAACACATAAATTAAGGAAGTGAAAGCAGGAGACACGTTTTCGAGCGTTAGGGAAATGAGTGCGTCATGGAATTTTAAGGGAAAGCAATTAAGTATGGGGATAAAATGGGAAAATTCTAGGATAGAAATGTCCTGCGGTGGTAATTTGAAGACTTAATTATGGGTTGCCCAATCGAGAAAAGCTTTAATTATCATATTATGGTAATTAATAATTTGGTCTTAGAAGCTAAGGATCTTGAATTTGAATAAGCTAAAGACCCAGTTATAATAAATAAAGATTTTATATATATTTTTTATATTTTATTTCTAATGTTTGGTCATATTTTAGCATATCATTTCTGTATTCTTTTATCCTTATCGTTTTGGTATGGGGAAAAAATAATGCTTATTGTCGTATTTACTCAGTACTTGTATTTCCAATTAACTTTACCGATAAATCATGTTGATTTATAGACACGAGCTAATTAGCATTATAATAACTATAGATAACTCTTTAAAAATGTGTTAGTGCTGCAGGAACATTCAATAGAAAAACAGGTTGCTGATAGTTATGGAGTTCTACTTAAAAAACCGTGTGATAATCAATAGAGTGAAATGAAAAGGTGGACAAATATACACGTATAATGTTCCACTTAGACTCCTTGCTTGCAATGGAAACTAGGGAGTGCTCTATGGTCGTTATCCAGCGATGAATTTAACTCAACCCTTCCGGCCACTGGATGTCTTTGCATGTGGTTATGTTTGCACACGCCACAGAAAAAACCCATCCCCATCTTGGTCTGGGTGTCCCCTCTACATCGGAGTCCTACTTTTCCAACATGAATGAATGACTCTAACTACATTTCCCATGCAAGAGCCCTGGGATCCATGCCTGTCCGCTATTCCCACTCCTTATTCCTGGGTGCTCCTGCTGTTTGCTTGTCAAAAACGTCAAAAGTGCGATAGTGAAGACCCCAATGAAGAACAGAATGGGTTACACTGGGGGAAATAAATCAATATACAAGGGGAAACTTTCTTAGAAATAAAAACTTTAACATATATGTAAAGGTTTAGAAAGTTAAGCCTGATTTTATATTCTACCTCAACCCCGCTTAAACCTTATTTATTGATTAGTTGTAGAATTTCCTTAACATCTTTTCTCCAAGTGCACAAGGCCTGCTAGCGACAACTTGAGGCTGGTTGCAGCAGGTCCCAACCACCGCCTTATTTGCTTGGTTACCAAAGTAGTCCGGAAAAGCTCAGACCCCAGACCCCAGGACCTTAAATGATGTTGCAACGGGATGATGCACACAGAACCCACCCACCTACCTACTGGAACGCATGAAATAGTGCCATAAATGACATGTGATAGATGGATGGCTGGACACTTGGCTAGGGCTTTGAGGGATTAGCTCGGAATGTGGCCCAAATGAGGCTGCAACCCACCCGCCTGCTGCTCCTGTAATTAGGCTCCCCTTCGAGGCTAGAGAGGCCATAAAAGCCGTTGATAGTAGCCAGCTTTGACTTTATCTATTGCCTTAGTCTATGGCCATCCTCAGTCCCACACTTTTTCTTTCACTCCAGCCACTTCAGTTGATGCTCTGTGGCCCTCCGTTCCCTTATTCCATTTTATTACGTATACGCCCCGCTGGTTGATGTGGCACAGCACTTGGGGCGAGACAGTCAAACCAGCTATCCCAGTCCCGGCCATCTGCCTCAATATTTGATCTGAGCAAATATGAAATTCCCAATTCTGAATCGTTGGAAAGGGGGGTGGAGAGAGAGTGAGTCTCCTATACATGTTTATATATCAAAAATGCCAAGTTGGGACAATCATTTCACGCCCTGCCACGCCAGTTGGAACTAATGCTATCCGATGCACTCGGTCAGCCGTGGCTAATGGGAGACAACTGGAAAATGATGTCGATCATCATTATATAGATCCCTGCTAAGTGCCAGTTCTCACATGTTTCTAAGAGATTTATCAAAGAACAGTACTGATAAAAACTGCATTATCAAGAGCTCAGAATTTACAGAAAACCCTGTTGGGGAAATATATTTAAATAAATAAAAGAGCCGCCCCTTTAATCGCTTGCAATAATAATAAAAAAACAGTTCCCGCAGGCAGTTCAAGCGATCAACACGCATTGAGTGAGAATCATAAGCAGTGACGATCATCGTTTCAAGATAATTAACACGGACAATTAGTGCTGAAACTCTCAGTTAGAGATAGAGCATAGAGAGAGTACGAGTTGTCGAATATTTATATGATTTTATGGAGCCCATTATAATGTTTGTTTACTCTTTTTCTCACAGCAAACATGACAAACGCCAGCTGAAACGCCAGGTGGAAGACGCTGAAGTCGGTGGTTTGGTGGTACATCGGTCTCCCCTCCAATAAAAAAGCACCTTTAGCTTAGAGAGTGTGATCACCATGCGACGTCCAAAAATATCCCTCAAGAAGTACTTTTATTTCACACTGATCTGCGCCCTACTCCTCATATTCGGTTTCAATATCAAGTGAGTAAGACACGTCAGAACATAGTTTTAACCATTATAAATAGCATGATGTTTCAATAAAAATTATTAGTGAGATTATATTAAATGGAGATTATATTAAGTAAATCAATGGGATTAATCATCTACAACATTATAATAATATAAACCCAACTATAATTATTTAATCCAAAATATAATCATCAATTCTGTGCTTTAATTTTCATGTTGTCGCCACAATATAAATGAAATTGATTAAGAGTTATTATCACTTAAATCAGGGAGAGTCTCTCTTTGTATATAATATATAAAGTCGGAAATATTGGACACTCAACAAAAATTTGAGTGAACTTTTATTAATTGATAAATTATATCAAATCTATCATATGTATGCTTTTTCTCTTTTTTTTAGAAAGATCTAGAAACAATTTATTATTCCCAGTGTAAATCTTTATATTTGCTAACACAATTTCTTTGTATTACTCATTAGCACAATTTAATTTCTAATTATATGTACCTAAGCGCTTATCAAAATTATGCCCCGTAGGGGGCAAAAACTGCCCTACCCTGAAATCAGTTTAGTTGATCTTCAAGTAAAGTTGCTCAAAGTTTAGTTCAGAATTTACCCAAAATATACATAACCTTATATAAAATGTAATTAAACCCGACAGCTTATGTTATGATTATTTTCTCTACTTCCCCAGAGAGCACGAAATATGGAAGACGCGGAGTCCCCGTTCTGCTCTTATAACTACACAACAGCAGCAACAGCACCTGCATCAACTGCAATCCCTGGATGAGGAGCATACACAGGTCACAAGCACCACACCGCCACCAGTAGCATATGCCACATTGGTGCCCGAAAGCAATTTCAATCTTGTTGAGGAGCCGGAACGGGCGGAACTCCAGGATGAGGAGGATCTGGAGGAGAGCGAAGCGGATAGACAACAAGAAGCGCCACCGGCTAAGCCTTGGTTCTTTAAGAACGGCGAATACTATCCAAAGCCGGCCAAAACCTACAGTAATCGCAAGGCCAGGAAGCGACATGCTCCCAGGTTGCACCCCCATCAGGATCCTCACTCGGATCGAATCACCAATCAGTTGATGTATGTGCCGCACAACTATGAACAGATCAAGGCCAGCGGCAAGCTTAAGACCATCCTGCTGTTCAATGGTCTCGGTCCCTGGAATGTGAAAAAGGGTCGTGATGTCTTCCTAAAAGCAAAGTGTCCGGTGGACACCTGCGAACTGACTGCCAATCGGGATCTGGTCAGTACGGCCGACATGATCCTGTACAAGGATCACTTTATACCCACGGGTATAAGGAGGCCCAGCAACGCCAAGCAGGTCAGCATGCTGTACTATCTGGAGTGTCCGTATCACACGCAGAATGTCAAGGTGCCCGATGCCATCAATTGGACGGCGACCTACAGGTGGGTTTCTTTAAAGAATCACTCAAATCATAGAAGACTCTATTAACTCTACTTGTTCTGCAGACGTGACAGCACCATTGTGGCACCGTATGAGAAGTGGCAGTACTACGACACAAAGGTCCAACAACAGGAGCAGGATCAAAACTTCGCCGTCAACAAGACCAAGAAGGTGGCTTGGTTTGTTTCCAATTGTGGGGCGAGAAATGGCCGGCTTCATTATGCCCATGAGCTGCAAAAACATATAGAGGTGAGGAGAAAACCTTAATATTTAGTTATATTTACAATACCTTCTTCATCCTTCCCTCCAGGTTGACATCTATGGGGCTTGTGGCAACTTCAAGTGTTCCCGCAGCACGGCGGACAAGTGTTTCGAAATCCTCGACAACGACTACAAATTCTACCTGGCATTTGAGAACTCCAACTGCAAGGACTACATCACAGAGAAATTCTTTGTGAATGCCCTGAATCGTAGGGTTCTGCCCATTGTGATGGGCGCCCGACCCGAGGACTACGAGGTGAGTGCACCTCGTCGCTCCTACATCCATGTGGATGAGTTCGCTTCGCCCAAGGAGCTGGCAGAGTATCTGCACATCCTCGATCGCGACGATGAGTTGTACAACTCGTATTTCAAGTGGAAGGGCACTGGTGAGTTCATCAACACGTACTACTGGTGCCGCGTCTGCGCCACCCTGCACAACGAGGAGCAATTGCGGAAACCGCGATGGTATAGTGACCTTAACGATTGGTGGCGGGGCGCGGGTGTATGTACGACGGGTTCCTGGCGGAACTTTAAGGCGCGCAAGGATGTCATTAGCGACGACTGAGTACGAGTTGAGGAGTCAATCCAGATTGTGGGCTTGGCCATTGCTGCATAGATCACACACATCATCATCATCTTCAGTGAGTCCTTCTTCGCTTCTGAATTGTTGTTATTTTGTAGAGGATATCATGGTCACCATCTCGACTTTTCATATTTTGCTATCACTATCCCAGGATGGGTTCTTAGTTGGTTTTGAGATGGATAATTATAATAGGTGCAATATTTCTAGGTTTAGTTACCTTTGGGTTCAATATCCTATCATTAATTTTAAATTATATATATTTAATGGGTTTATCTTTGTAAAAAGTGTGTGCCAATTGATTTAAGTATCATTTACCGTGATTTTATAACATAATATAACTTGTCTCTCAACTTGTTCTTGTGAAATTCAAAGCTTTAATATAACTTCTATAACTTTTACCAAAAGTAACAATATCGCACCTACTATATTTCTAAATCAAACAAATAAAACCCATCCTATCCTTCGCTAATCATCTGTAAAGAGTCGCTTCGTTTTAGCCGGTGTTTTACGTAAATGTTTTTGTAGTTAGTTAGTAAGTAAAAAAAACGAGAGGATAAGGAGGAGGTTTAAACACTAGCCCCATAGACTAAAGAAAGATCCCCGTGCTGATCGTTGTAACATATACAATACCAACCAGAGACGCATAAGAGAAAACCTAGAAACCTAGCCTATAGTTATTATATACGGATATACAAATGATATACATAGATCGATAATTTATATACATATATAGTTGTTTAAACACTAAAATGCAAGTCCAACATAGAGCATAAAAAATGAGAGGCAAGCAAGTTACAAGTAGTTCGATATTAAATAGCCTAACTGAGCCATCAGCTATATAGTCTAGATCTTTTGTAAGTGTTTTTTGTAAGCTGCAATATTATATATATTATTATTTTGACTGTATGATTTTCTTTTAACCTAGTCCTGGCTTTTAGTTGAAACGTTAGCAGCTGTAGTTAGAGCTACTTGAAACGGTTTCCCCCGGCCTGTTGACTTAAACTACTTAATCTAGAACGGATTCGCACAAGCCAACATATACATATATTTATATATATATCTGATCTAATACAAATACAAATCTGCATTCCTATTTTGTCACAAAATATCATACATTTATGGCGTATTACAGACGCTTGCGTGTATGTTTTTACACATTTTTTTGTTAGCAATATTTGTGTGTAATTATTGTGAAAACATTTATTTTATAAGTATTATGGAATAATATTAATAAATCATCTGTGTGTGTATTTTGATTGTGAACTTGTTTAACTTTTAATTTTTACTGTGATACAAAAACATAATTATAATTATAATAAACAAGAAATAAACAAAAGGAAAACGAAATCAATTGGAAACCGAATTTTTACTGGGAATGGCACCAAAAAGAATATTTTAGGCTAGACAAAAAAATGTGTGAAAATTGGATTCATCAAGAAAATACTGAAAATAAGCTTGAAAGCAACGTATACTTCAAAGGGCAGCGGGGCTGCCTTATGGGAAATTAGTGAAATTCAAAATTGTTTTAATCAAAACGAAATTCAAAGGAAAATTACCTCCTGTAAGTACAAATCCTCATAATATCTGCATAGCCTCAAGAGGAGCAATATTTTAATCCATTAAACATGACACATTTTTAGCTGCTGCATCAAATCTTTTAAAACATTTAGTTTTTCCTTCTTTAATCCCTCATCTTTACCTGCCGCTGCGGCCACAATCTTTGCCGTAATCTTGCGCTGCAAGGCTATGGCTTCCACTTTCTTGGAAAGCTGCAAAAAAGATTCTTTCATTAAGTACAAAATATAAAAGATATATCAATAACACAACCCACCTCATAGGCACGCTTGATGATGCCATGTGGCATGCCCGCCAGCTTGGCTGCATTGAAGCCATACGACTTGGGACAGGCACCGGCTGTGTACTTGTAGAGGAATGTAACCGTTTCTTGGGTGGGATCTGCATTGTCTTCGTTCTCCACCATGCAGGCCATATGACCCAGTGTGATCCGCTTGTCGTTGTGGAAGAAATCAATCAGATTATGATAATGCGTGGAGAACAAAGTGCGACACTTGAGATTGGCCAGGAAGTTGACCACCGAGGCGGCAATGGCAGTGCCATCATAGGTGGCTGTTCCCCTTCCTAGTTCGTCAAGCAGGACCAGCGAATGGCAGGTGGCATGCTTGAGAATCAGCGAGGTTTCATTCAGCTCCACGAGGAAGGTACTGTGCCCGGCTAGGATGTCATCCTGGGCGCCCAATCGCGTAAAGATTCTGTCCACCAGCGACAGGCGGCAGCTAGTAGCGGGAATGTGAGCTCCCTGAAAAGGAGAGCATCGTCAATACAGTTTCATATAGTATAATTTACTCACAATTTGCGCCATGATAACCAGCAACCCCAGCTCCCTCATCAGTGTACTCTTACCGCCCATATTGGGACCGGTGAGTAGGGACAGAGGCGCCTCCTTTTCAGTGCCCAACTCCAGGCCATTGGGTATGTATGTGGAGGCATTTACACACGGATGATAGCCCTCTTCCAGTTGTATGAATGGCTGATCCGCGCCAGATACCAGCTCTGGCACACAAATGGTAATCTGTTGTCCGGCATACTCCGCCAGGGAGCCGAGGACATCCAAATTGGCCACACAATCGATGCACTGCTTCCACTGTTCGTAATGATTGGAGAACTTTTCAAAGAGGCGACGCGCCAAGTCCTTAAGCACCATATTTCGTGTATCCTCCGCGTGCTGCATATCTTTAAGCAAAGCTCGTGTCTCAGCCGTGGTGTAGCGACGTGAAGGCTTCTTGCCCTTGGTCTGTCCCTCCAAGGAATAGGATTTGTTGGCCTTGTTGGCATGAGTTTCTGGCACATCCAACTGGTAGCGCTTCTTATCGCTGCCAAAGTAGGTGACGCGGCAGCCAAAGTGCCGCTCCTGCTCCACCAGATAGGTCTTCAGGCGCCCCTCTATAGCCTCTATGGCATCCATAGCCGAGTCGTACTCCGCATCCATACCGGCTTGTGGGGCAATCACACCTGTCTTGGCTGCTGCTTCGTGATCAAAGGCGGTTTCAAAGTACTTTAGTTCCTTGCTAAGATCGGGAAATGTGCCTCCAGACTCGGGTAACTGGGTGATCCTCTTGAGAAGTGCAGATTCGCATTGATGGAAAATCATGGGCAGCTTGGTAAGCGATTTGAATCCATTAAGAACGCTTATAAAGCCACGCAACTTCTGCTTGTTGTACAGCTTCTCCTCGAAGAGAATGGCCCGGGAATCGGGATGATTCATATCCTTGATTTGCTTATTGCCAAACAGGTGAATCTGTGCCAGATTCCGCTCAAAATCTGGCATGGGTGCTAGCAGGGCTCGCATCTCCTGCAGCTCACTGGACATGCGGATCAGCTCTCCAACGGCCTCTTGACGCTCTTCGATCACAGCCACATCACAGCTGGGAGCACATAGCCAGTGGTGGAGCAGACGCTTACCGAACTTGGTGCAGCAATGGTCCAACGTAGATAGCAGGGAGTGATCCTCACCAATAATCCGCAGATTGGACAGCGTTGTGGCATCTAGCACCATGTGGGAACGCCTCAAGGTGGAGGCCCTTGGCTTAATATCCTGCCTGGCATCCTCTGCTATTTGATCGGGCGGCACATAGAGCTGATATCGCGCCATAGGCAGTACCTTTGGCTCCAGCTTGCATTTGTGTATGAAAAATATGCACTGACCAAGGGCCTTCAGGGCTAGCTTGTAATCCTCATTCGGCGTGAGACCCAAGTGATCCAAATCCGACTGCATGGTGCGTAGCACCAGAGGCCAGTTGTCATCGGAACCATCTGCCTTGCCGGCGTAATAACGCTCTGCCAAGAGCTTGAGGGTCTTCTCGGCATTGCAGCCTTGCGGTCCATTGCTGGGCAGTTGCTCCCTGAGGATGCCACCAAGAACTGTGCGCACAATTTGCTGAGAACGTTGACTCAGCGAGGATTTCTCATTGAGGAGCTGAGGAATATTGTAGGCTAAGATATAAAGATTCTCATAATACTTTTATTCAAGACTCACCAAAACAGGCATATGGTGCGAAAGCAGAGTCAGCAGCCGGGAACAGTTTTTATCATCCTCAAACTCGCCCAGGTGGAAATCTCCAATGGAGGTGTCTATGAAGCACACACCGTAGCGACTCCAAGTGCCCTCGTCCTGCTCGACCAGGGCCAGCATATAATTAGGTTGATGATTCGGTCCGATCTGGCACTGGGAACCAAAGACCTGAGTGCCGCGATTGGTGATTTGACAGATTTCACGGGCCACAACCTTGTCGAACTTGGTGGGCTTGATTCGCTTGCAGCGTTCGGTCATCATGTCTGGTGTCTCTGTTTGCTCCACGCGAGCCACCTGAAGAAGATTAAAGATTAGAGGTTAAAACTTTATATTATAGTCCACTGAAGACCTCACCTTGTATCCCCTGTCTATGAGGATGGTGGACATCTTATCAAAAGATATCTCCGGGAATCCCGAATGGGCAAACTCGCCCCGCATGTAGGTGAAGCCCAGCTCATTAACGCCAACATCTGCATCGCCGTGGTAAAGCTCATAAAATTTGCCCACCTTGAAGAACAGCACGCAGTCATAGTTGTCCGACTTGAGAACCCACCACTGGCGAACACCCGGGGACAGGCTGTTGAGGAACTTCTCCGGCACATGCAAAGTGCTGCAATCGTAGTCCGGATGATCTGGCCGCCGTCCCGCCTTGTCCTTGATTTTGTCGGGCTGCAGGAACTCCAGTTTCTGATGGGGCCAAACCACAGGCTCGTCCAGGTTCGAGGTGCTGGTAACTATATCATCGTAGGCGGCATCCTTTTTGGCATTACTTTGCAGGTTCTTGAGTTTCTCCTGGAAGGTGGTGCCCTCGGCCAACTGCGGAGTAGTGGTCGTCTCCAGTTTAACCTTCTTGCTGGAGGGCTCTATGTTATTATTGTTGATATTGATGTTCTTGGACTTCTTGTGCGACTTCTTCACCACGGGACTGTCCACGGATGTGTCCATTTCGCTGGGCTCCTCGACTTCGTCCTCTCCGCTGCTAACGCTATCGTCACTGTCCTCATTGGCATCTGGCTCGTAGTCGGAGGCGCCCTCCGAGAAGTCCTCCTCAGATTTGGTGACCTCCATGTCCTCCTCGCTCTCCGATTCGGGTTGGACGATGCGCTTTCGCTTGCGTTGGCCATCCTGCTCATCTCCTGAACCCTCGGACATGGGCAGCTTCCGCTTGGCCGCTGGCTTGGATGCCTCTTTTGCTTTCTCCACTTTCGGTTGGGCATTCTTGAGATTCTCCTTTTCGGTGGTGGTGTCTGGTTCGGTTTTTACGCTAGGCGTCAGCTTTTCTTGTCGACAGCCGGTGATTTGGTGAAATAATTAAACAGTGTGTTTGTGGGCGTTCCCCCCACACTTGTGTTCAACTTCTTGGACATGATTTCGGCCTCCAAATGAATGAAAAGGTCCGCTAAAATCAGGATGAAGACGCCAAGATTATGCGCCAAAAATCTGTGCAGGCTGCCAGATGCTGAACCCGCGAAATGCAAGCGTTGCCAGACGTTTGTCAGAAACAGCTGTCAAGGGCTTCTAAATCCTTAATATGGGAAGCAGCTGAGGAAGTATTTTTATCAGAAGAGAGGGCGGGCACACCATCTGTCTGTTTGCTTTTCCAATTTCACAAATTTAAGCAAAATAATTAAAAATATAGTAAAATGTCGCTAGCGGACGAACTTTTGGCCGATCTCGAGGAGGACAATGACGACAATGAGCAGGATGAGGATGATGCGGAGATGGGCAACGCCGAGGAAGAGAACGTAAGGAGTAAACAAATCATGCCGGTTGTCTTTTTCCACTTAGAGGTTCTCCTCATTCCACAGCTCCTGGCCGAGAAGCTCTCCAAGCCGGCTCCCAATCTGATGGAAGTGGACGTCACAGTCCAATCGGTGCGGGAACTTTGCAAGTTGCGCGACTCGGAGCGCCTGAGGAATATCCTGCAGCAGATCGAGCACTATGCCAGCCGCCAGCGTACTGCCGCCGAAATGCTAGGCTCTGTGGAATCCGATCCAGAGTATTGTCTCATTGTAGATGCGAACGCCATTGCGGTGGACATTGATAATGAGATCTCCATAGTACACAAGTTTGCCAAGGAGAAGTACCAGAAGCGTTTTCCGGAACTAGACTCTCTGATTGTCGGTGAGATTGAGTATTTGCTGGCTGTCAAGGAGCTGGGCAACGATCTGGATCAGGTGAAGAACAATGAGAAGCTTCAGGCCATTCTCACGCAGGCCACAATTATGATTGTGTCCGTCACAGCGTCAACAACACAGGGGTGAGTTCTCTTTAGCCGAATCTTGAATAATAAATATTGATAAATATTATTTCAGCACCATGTTGACGCCGGCGGAAAAGGCCAAGATTGATGAGGCCTGTGAAATGGCCATCGAGCTGAACAACTTCAAGTCCAAGATCTATGAATACGTGGAGAGTCGCATGACCTTCATAGCGCCCAATCTTTCGATGATTGTTGGCGCCTCCACAGCTGCTAAGCTTCTGGGCATTGCTGGTGGCTTGTCTAAGCTCTCCAAAATGCCCGCTTGCAATGTCCAGGTTTTGGGTTCTCAAAAGAAGACCCTTTCAGGCTTCTCACAGACACAGATGTTACCACACACGGGTTACGTTTACTACTCACAGATTGTCCAGGACACGGCTCCAGATCTGCGACGAAAAGCAGCACGATTAGTGGCTGCCAAATCGGTGCTGGCTGCACGCGTGGATGCTTGTCACGAGAGTGTCCATGGGGAGATTGGATTGCGGTTCAAAGAGGACATTGAGAAGAAGCTGGACAAACTGCAGGAGCCTCCGCCGGTGAAGTTCATCAAGCCGCTGCCAAAGCCCATCGAGGGGAGCAAGAAGAAACGAGGAGGCAAGCGTGTGCGCAAAATGAAGGAACGATATGCCCTGACCGAGTTCCGCAAGCAGGCAAATCGCATGAATTTCGGCGATGTAAGTAAAATGATCTTTTTAATCTGTGATGTATTAATCATTCTTACATTCCACAGATCGAGGAGGATGCTTATCAAGGAGACTTGGGCTACTCGAGGGGAACAATTGGCAAAACTGGCACTGGACGGATCCGTTTGCCTCAGGTGGATGAGAAGACTAAGGTTCGCATTAGCAAGACACTGCACAAGAATCTGCAGAAGCAACAGGTTTACGGAGGAAATACCACGGTTAAGCGACAGATTTCCGGAACAGCCTCGAGTGTGGCATTCACGCCATTGCAGGGTCTGGAAATTGTGAATCCACAGGCGGCGGAACGATCGCAGACCGAGGCCAATGCCAAATACTTTTCCAACACCTCCGGATTTCTGTCCGTGGGACATCGGACCACTTAGGCCAAGCAAGCTATCTTCTTTTACCTATAAAATTAAGCACTTTTATTTGGAGATTTGTCGAATGTAGTAGTAAAAGCTGCAATAAAGCTTGAAGAGAGATTCAAATTGTTGTTAGCTGAGCTTGCCCACCTCCAGTTTTCGCTGAATGGCCTCCCAGGAGTTGTTTAACAGCACGGCCAGAATTCCGGCCACAGTGAAAACGCCTCCAATGATGGAGCAGCAATTTGTGGCAAAGTGGCCAAAGGAGCTGTGGATACAAACAATAAATAAATATAAAATAATACATAAGAGTAGTTTTGTAATGTTACTATACTGACTTGCGCTTCTCGGCATATTTAACCATGAGCGGTGATAGCTCGTAACTGAAGAATATGCCTGGCATGCCGCGTTCTCGATCCGAAAGATCTTTTCGGTAGCGCGTCACGGAGAATTGATTCGTATATATGGGCTGGCCGTCGCTGCCACCCCGCTGGTACAGTGTAGGCACAATTTTTAAATAGTAATTAAACATTTCACTTTTTGACTCTGAAAGAAATTTAATTTTAGAAAAGGATTTTTTAAAATTAATTTGAAATAATTTTTTGTGGACTAGAAATATCAGTTAAAAATAAAAATCGATGTATCGTCTTTTTAAAAAACGTCGTTGTTATCGATAGTGTCATCGACTTTCTCGTATCCCTAACGCACAGCCGATCACATCGACACGCGACGACGAGTCCGGAAAAATAAATAGTAAATTTCCCAAAGTGGACAAACTTTTCGGCATTATTTACGTTTAAACCGGACGCGAGTCGAGGCGCGAAGCTTGGTGGAGCACCAGACGAGACGCTGCGGAACATAGCTATCGGCAACGAAGGATACAACTGAGAGATGCCGCTGCCCTCGAGCTCGTTCTCCCAGCAGGGACCCACCTGCTTTGACAAGATGAAGACGGGCTTCATCATTGGTTTCTGCGTGGGCATGGCTAGCGGAGCCCTCTTCGGTGGCTTCTCCGCTCTCAGGTTAGTGTATTAGACTTTGCTCTCGCACTCCACGGGCGTGACGCAAGGCTTGGGGGGTCATTATGTAATTTATATGCCGGCTAACAACTAATGAACCGAAACCTAAACTTTACAGATACGGACTGCGCGGACGGGAGCTTATCAACAACGTGGGCAAGGTGATGGTCCAGGGAGGCGGTACATTCGGCACGTTCATGGCCATCGGCACTGGGATACGCTGCTGATCCGCCAGCCGGCATTTTCATTTAGTTACTAAACACGAAACCTAATCCTTACTCCAATCTTGTTTAAATTACGCTAAGTTATTTCAATAATAAGAGATGTTAACCGAAGCCAAGCTCCGTGTGTTGTTTCCCAGTCGACTTACCCGACACGTCTACGCGCAGTCCATCCAATGGGTGGGTTTTGGCAAACTCAATCTTCTCGCCAAAGGAGAGGTGATTAATGGTGTGAGAGAGCTTAACGTTGCTAAACTGGAAGTCATGGATGTGAAACTGTCGGATGGAGAAGCTCTTGCCGGGCGCAAAGTGAAAGCTGCCGGCCATGCGATTCACCTCCAGGTGCCCCTGTATACGGCAGCCCTCCTTGAAGGCATCCTCATCGCTGCGTTTGTACTTTCCCTTGCACTGCTCAATCTTGTCCACCTGCACGGTCCACTTACGCAGCCGGTAGGCGTCAAGAACCTCCTCGCAGGTGTTGCAGCAGCTACAGAAGAGGGGAAAATCGGTATTATATTAGGTAGGAGCCTGAATGTCATCTAGTTCTTACTGTGTGGCATTATACTCCGCCCCGTAGCAACTGCCGCAAGTAACGTTCTTGTTCGGCGGCGAGACAGCCACAATCTCCTTGATGGGCGTCTCCTTTAGTGGCTCCCCATTGAGATCTAGTCGATGCTTGAAGACATCGTGATCCACCCGCAGGTGTGTGTCTCCCGAGGAGTCCATTGCATCTAGGGAGATGTAGTTGCAGGCCAGATTGTGTAGGGTAACATCCAGATTGATGCGCAATTTGTGGCCCCGAGTGGTATCCACGAACAGCTCCTCGTTTAAAGTGGGCTGTATGTAGCTGAGGAACTCGAGGAAGATGAGCAGGCTTATAATGCTGGTGCTAATTATCGTAACTGAGAATTTGGGAAAAAGCCGGTTGTTAGGATTTTCTTATTGTCGAAATCAATGTACCATTGGGAGCACCCACCTGCGGCGCCGCCCACTGTTCGAACACTGAAGTCGTCCAGGGTCCTTGGATACGCGTCCAGGCGACGCAGCACATCGGCAAACTTCATTTTAAACACAGAATAACACACGAAAAAAGACGTACGCGAAACGTAAACAATAAAAATTACATCTTTTTTTCTAGCGGCGGCAAGTGACGTGGTGCTGCGCGCCTTGCCAGATTATTGATGTTTCCCCAAAACAGCTGTTCGCGGCTGATGTTACAGCGCTGCCGGATTAACGAAAAGTTTGGCTACCGGTGCCTCCGTTAAATTTGAATATTTTGGGGTAGAGTTTGTTCTTTTAAGGGGGGTTTCTTGAAGAACAGGGTATTTTAGAGATAGTTATTTTTTTTTTAACACAATGACTACTAAAGACTTAGTAGAAGAAGAAAGCTTTGTGTTTAATGTTTTCATATGCTCAGTATGTTTCAGGAACTAGTTACGTTTTCTTCAGTTTGCATTGTTGTAAAGCTCATTTTAGTCTCTTTTTAAAACTAAAATATTAATAATTCAATATTCAGTTATATTGATTTATTATTTAAATATATATTCTTCATTAGCTTTATTTTATAGAAGAATATTTCTTTGCAGTCACCAATAAAGACCTGAATATATTTATAAAGTTTCCTATCTTGAAATAGTATTTACTTTAATTACTTTTCTTGGTTTTAACTTGTAAACAATTTTTTTCTTGGCCTTATCCTTCATTAACTGGGCACTTTTTCCCATTCATTACGCATACGTCACGTTGGCCCAGCGATAATTAGGAGCTCCGTCGCGTCTGACCCGCCCATTCCAATGGCCGCGCATAATGTTTAATAGTGTTGTCATGTCTTGGGGGCTGTGGTTGCGCATACATTAGGCCAAAGCCCAAACCGCCCGCCATTCTTAGACACCCTTAACCCGTTGCTGCTGTTGCTGTGGTCCAGGAGACCGCGTCTAATTTTATAATACATGTTAAACAGATGAAAGGTTAATTGAAAGGAACCACAAGTTTCGACAGCCCACGCTTGGCTTTTAGGGGTTGCAACCCCTCCTCCGGCAAAAGCAAGAATAATAGGAGTCTGTGGGCACATCCCAGGGGATTTCGGTTAGAGTTAAAAGTTTTCGCTTAAATATAAATCACCAAATGGCTTGCCGCTTGACTGATTGAAGCCAAAAACCGAAAACCCAAGAACCCAGAGGAGAGGCCCAGGCTGATGAACCCTGGAAATCCATGCAGGGTCACAAATAATTGCGTGTGGAGGTGTAGGAACATGCCGCGACTTTGTGTAATTACCAATTAAGTTCAAGTCCCCGGCAGCTGACTTGCTTTGTTCCTAAAGCACTCTCTAGTTTGTATCTTTTTTTTCTCACTCTGCTGACCTTTTCCCTTTTCTCCTTTTTTTTTGCAATTACCTGAACGAGAAATTTTGTGAAATCGGGCAAGGCAGCTGGAGCAGATGACAAAGATTAGCCGGCGGTAATTTTTCTTATTTCTTTCTAAATTGGAGTAAATGGATTGGGAAGGGTATGAGAAAGCTTATATGTCTCAAAGGTAATCATTTGGAGGTTCTAGAGATGTAATATTAAAGGGAAAGCGATTGAAATTGATGTGAATTCAATATCTAATGAACTCGCCCTAAAAAGTATGCTATAAAATATTACAATTAAAAAGTATCCTTTAAGACTCTTGAAAACTATAAATAAAAGAAATCTTTTGTACTTTTTTTTTAGCTGGTTTTATGTTATTTGTACAAGATTTTCAATTATTTAAAAGAACGACTTCAAATAATTTAAGTTAATGTCCCTCCTTACACCCAAACCTTTAATATGTTTTAAACTCTTCTTAAAATAAAAATCTTTCCGTTTTTTCTTTCATCTGAGACAGGTCATAGTCCTTTTATGTTATATTAGTCCGACTTATGGCCATAGGGCATTCGAGTTTTTGCCATGGCATCATTTCGGCCATTTGCCTCGACACCACCCACCACCATTACCCAGCTAACCCAACCACCTTTTTCCCACCACTTTTATCTCCCCGCTAATTTGCATTTCTAACCATTTCGCTCTAACCAATTCGCGTCATTTCTTATTTGAAACAATGAGCCCAACAGCAGCCAGAACAAATAACGAAGAAGGAGTCATTGTGCTCCGGCTTTGCAGGCAATAAAAGACTCCGGAGACAAAAGAGCCGGAGAGAGCGTGTCAAGAAACTTGGACCCGGATGGACGAGGACATGGCCAAGAAGATGGAGGAGGCAGATGCAGGAGCAGGGTATGAAGAAAGCAAAAGAAAAGGCAGAAAAGAAGTTGGCGTAAAGCAGCTTAAACAATCAGGACTGCCTAATGGATATTGACACTTTAATGCCCTGGCCACCAACTCAGGCTCCAGTTTAGATTCTGATTCTTTCTTCGAATCCTGCACTGAAAATGTATAATTATAATAGATTACTTTAAAACTTATACTGAGATTTAACTAAGTGCTTTAATAAATTAATAAACAGTTAATTGGAATATTAAAAGAAAGAAGTTTGTTGCTATTTGTTGGTTCTTTATAGTTCAGCAGAGAGTGTTTTGAGTTATAAGCGATTATGGGGCTTAAAAAATAATATCGAAAAAGTGTTTTAATTTATTTAAAAGATTTAAATAAATAATGCACAGATGATGGTAAAAGAATGAACCAAAAATCTCCCCATCCTACCTACATTATGCTCAATCCTCTTAAAATTCTCAAATACGAATTCAGTTAGCAAAATTATTACTACAACAAAGCATGTTTGAACATAATAATTTATAATAATTTCCTTTACATGGAAAATAAAAACATATGTATAATAAATACCCAAAAATTAACGCTTTTAACCCCATAAAATTTATCTCTGTGTAAATTTCAAATTGGTAATGGCTTAGAGGGGTATTCCTGGGAGAACGGCAGGATCCATCCGTGCAGATGTCCTGCTCTAATTCGCTTCGGTTTTTCAGCTCCTTCCCAGTACATACACACATACACAGACATTTTTTTCTATGGGCCGCAAATTCTTTGGTTTAAACAAAATTGCAGTGCCGAAATTAATTATAGAGCCGCCGCACCCGGGCCATATTTAATTAAACGTGGACATTTTAAACTTGGTAGCAAAACGGAAACCGAACTGAACTGAACTGAACCGCCCAAGAAACGTGGAACCAAAAGGCGTAATTAATTAGTGGAGACGTGCCAAATAATTGCGGGTAGAAGTAACTTTTTTTTTCCTATTTCTTGTCAGGGACTCTTTTATTATTTCGCTGGTCAAGGAATGTTTCAATTACGTGTATTGCTGGGCTTTTTCGGGGTGATGCAAGGGACTAAACTTTGTGCCACCTGGCAGGGGGGGGGAGGTAGAGAGCAGGTGGAAATTAATTAAATTAGCAGGCGCGCGTCATTACGGAAGAGTGTCGCGCAAGGACTTGAAATATTTTGTGCCATTGCCATTACCTTTTTGCCGGCATTTCCTGTGTTAGTCAAACCTCTCACTCCCCCCGAAATAAGCCGTATGGAAAGCCACCCAAAAATTGCCGAAAATGGCCACTGTGAAAATTCGCATACATAACCCTCACTTCCGTTGGCTAAAACCGAAAACGTCATTTCCGACAAATTAGTCCAGTCAACTGTGCCACGATATATTGTGCTGGGAAATACTATGTGCAGGCTGAGTGTGTGGAATGAGCAAATTCCTGTGTTTCAGTCAACGATTTTAAATCGCTGGCCACGTTTTAAGCATATTTCCTGGTTTTAGGATGCAAAGCATTTGCTCTTTGCAGCTCCATTTGGCGACAAATGTTTCGAAAGCGTTTCGGAAAATGTTGCCACTTTCCTGGGCCTCTTTTATGGCATTATCATTTATGAGCATCCCCATAATGGTTTCTTCTTCTGCTCGTTACTTTTAATTGTCGCGCCCATTAATTGCATTTGCAATGCGTTATAATTAGTGGGGCATTATGGAACCATATTTTCCTTTTCCTTCCCCCCATCAATCGATTGTCCTAAATTGGCATTGCAGTGGGGGAGTGTGGGAAACAGATTTAAAATGTAAATGTCAAATGAAGTTAATTCTGTAATATGAATGTTATTTAATGATAAGGAATGGGTGGTGGTCTTAAGGGATAAGGTAAATGGGTTTGTTTATGGCTTTAAGGTAATGGGTTCTGAGGGTATTTAATATCTTGTAATTGTAATTTTGTAAAACTTGAATGTTTACATTTACTGTATTTAATATGTATAAAATAAAGAAATTATAGGATAGTATCGGAAATACATCATAACGAAGCGTTAAATATTCACATTGATATATACTTTGAATGCATATTTAGCGATATTTGTATATGAAATTTTTTAGGACACAAAAAAGTTTAAAATTTGCATAACTAAGTCAAAAAGACATTGATTTTATTTCGGAAAGCTTTCTTTTGTTACTTTTTATTGGGTTATTAAATCTGCATACTTAAGTAAAGCTTTTACAAATTTAACATTTTTTCTCAAATTTTGAAAAATTTAACGATGTAACCCCTTTTAAAATTTTGGAAAAATTTTGTGAATTTTTTTCTTTGGTTGGAGATGGCTAGATTGAATCGGCTGTTAATTCTGATCGACTATATAATAAATCAAAGTAATAAATCCCAGCTTTTAAGCATACCTAACATATATAATATAATATAATATAATATAATATAATATAATATAATATAATATAATATAATATAATATAATATAATATAATATAATATAATATAATATAATATAATATAATATAATATAATATAATATATAATATAATATAATATAATAAATATATAATATATTATAGACCTTTAAAGCTACATTTCTATATAGCCTAACAATTAAGCAGAATAAAAGAATAACCAATCGCAATATGAAAATATCCATTCATGTATCGGCCATCGAGTTAAATATTGATAATATTTGATACAGTAATGCTACATTTTTACAAATTGAAACCCCTATTTTATTTATTTTGTAACAGTAACACTTTAGACTTTTCTTTAATTTATTTTCCCTCGGATATAACTATTTAAATGAAATAATTGAAATCCATTGATTGCTAAGAATGGAAAAAAATGTACAGCTTTTCCATATTTCCGGACTCTATTTAAGCCCAATCTGGAAATCGGTCTCATTCGATCCTTTCACAAAAGTTCACCATTGCCTGCT